CTGTTAGAAATAAAAAATGTTTTTTAAGTCAAAAAATGCTTTTTAATGCATAAACGCCGTACACCAAATTTTATTTATTGCATGTCTCTCTCGCTTTCGAACCTATCGGATTTCGTCCGCTTTTATTCGACTTCAACCAACGCAACAACAACGATGATGTGTCGTTTGTTCTAAATCAATTGTTCGAAAGAGTCGCAATAGCGACGAAACAACGATATTTTTGCGGGCACTTTCTTTTTCGTTGCACAATTTTTCGAGATTCGAAAGCCCCGGATTTTCGAGTCTATCGCGATCGGTCATAGTTTTTATAGGACGAACGTTTTTACTCTCACTTTTTTTGCCATAATATTTATTGTTTCGTGTTATTTCGATGTACAGGGCGATTTATCGACATTTATGATTTAAACATTGTAGCCATGACAAAGGAGTGCCTTGTACATTATTTACCCTGTATATGAAATATTTTTATTATTCTTTTCATAAGCAATTCCGGTGATATTATACGACCTCAAATTTCGCAATTTATTGTCCATGCAAATTCGACTCGTTTTCTTTTAGCGTAATTTTTTTTAATAATAAATTTTAATGAATTACCGCGGGAGTTATTTTTAGCACCACCTTGTGTGTATTAGGTATTTTAATCGATCCGATTACACCGTGCTGTTCAGCATGTGAAGCATTGAAAATTTAATTGGGTTAAACTCGAGACAGTGAGTAATTAATTGGGCAATGAAAAAGTGTAAAAATCTAACTGGAAAATACGCCGATACTCGGTTGAGGCTTTGCTTTATCACTTATCAGCTCTGGTTTTCCGTTCTATTTCGTTTCGACTTCGCTGATGGTAGAATAAAACCAATTCGAGCACAGCAAACGAAACGTTCTTATTTTATGTTAATCGTCTTATTGAGCAATCAAACGAACGATGTTTTTTTTTACATTGGTGCAATATTTCGAATGTTGCATTATAAAAGAGTAGTTAAAAGGTCGATCGTAGCATCGAAACGACCCGCAAAAAAATCGTTTAAAATATGCCCCAGTTATTTATTAATCACGTTCATGCCTTGTCACTGTTATTACAGCGACAATAGCTGTTAGTAATTTTTCGTTATACACGTTTGACGCTCAAGCCAGTCTTCATTATAATAATTAAAGCGAGCTTTAATCGAGCTTTAGTCGAGATCGCCATTGTTATGTGATGTATATTTTGTACAAATTCCACTCCATGTATTTACTACCTGTAGTAGGTACTTGTACTGCATTTATTGGGTGCAAAATACTTATTTTGTCGTGTCTACTTTGTTTTTTCTAACAGCTTAAAAGGGAATTTTATTCGTGTAGGTAAATTGGGCGCAAGAATAGTTTAGGTAGAATAGGGAAATGTTTGAATTCATTGCAAATTTCGAAAGAAATTGGAATTGCTGTAAAAAGTAGTGAAATAGAGATAGGGAGTAGATTAGATCAGAGTAGAGTAAAGGATTAAAATTTATAATACTTTTTTCGTCCCAATTAGAGAAATTAGTAATAGAAAAATTGATTGATTTCTTTGCATGGAAAAAATAATTGATGTAACTTATAATCTGCTTCTTGATAGACCCTTATAGGTGTAATAAATTTGAGAGTTACTGGTCCTCTAAATTATTGAAATTTCTATAGCAAGTGCTATTGAATCCGCGTGAAAATATTTCTAATTTTTTTCGAATACGATTGTTTCAAAGTAATATAGCCGGAATGAATACCGTCGTCGCATGCTAATAGGAGAAAACATAAATTCTGATTAGAAACCCATCGTTCATGATTAAGTAAAAGTGAAATATCCACAGCGATGGTCTCGTCGCCGAAACCTTCTCTAATGGTACATTTTTCATCCGGCTCGATTCCGATTTTCATCTTTCGCCCGTCACTTCCTAGTTTCTCTCTAGAGCATGTGCGTCCGGACACCGGCCCCAAACACGCCGGTACTTTCCCTTCGAAATCTCGCCGAAAGCACGCCGCTTCGATCTTCCTCTCGCGTCGCGGGAGCGCGGAGAGCGGCCGATTCTCTCCTAATACCTACGCCTATACAGTAATACAGCGCGTACTCGCGACCGAGTCGTGCTCTTTTGTGCTTTTCCAACGCCCGCGCGCCGCGTTAACTTTTGCTTTTCGGTCGAAAGGATTCGTTCCGAGCGCGCCGGTTATCCGCTAGTTTCTCTTTCGCTTGCAAAATTCGCGACCAAGATCGATCGAGAGAAAGTACCGTTGGCGCGTTCGCGCCTCGTTGCGTATATCGTACCGGAAAAGCGCCGCTGGAAATGTCGAGGAAGCACCCGAATCGATTCCATCGATTCGATATTGGCGAATTAATTATTCGGGATTCCGAGGGAACGGCGAGCGCGATCTCTCAGCGAATGCCTCTCGTGCCTACGCGACGGGTTAATTAAATTCTCCGGCGGGCGGTCGGGGGATTGATCCGTCTGCGAGGCGACCTTAATTTCGTTGAAAATTCCGATTTTTTTTTGTTCGATGAGGTAATTAAATTTATCTCGAACTTGACACGATTTGCTTAATTACACACGATAAATTTGTTCACTCTAGGGCATTAAAAGCGAATAATGTGGCGTTTGGAATATTGCGTAATACTCGTTCAATACATCTCAAAAAAAATCTTCTCCGATTAATGAAATCGGTACATACGTATGTGTGTACGGGGAAAAAATATCGAAAATCGGAACGCATGTAAATAGCGGAGCGGAAAAAAAAGAGGTGGGAAATAGTTGGAGCGTAACGAATGGATATATTGTCACAAACAAGAGCAAGGAACGGTCGATTAGGATTACGAAAACTGAAAAGCGGCATTTGGCCTTAATTCCGCGAATCGGCCAGCCGCTCACTCGCTCCGGTTTATCAGCGAGACCGAGGCGACTGCGGCTCATTATAATTAATTTATTGTATAGCGAAAAATTCGAATACCCAAACTATACGTAGTATCGCAAACTTCCAATAACGATATATCAATGAAATATATAGAGCTGTATTGGTGACTGGTTGGCCGATTGCGAATAGCACTTTTACTCTTCGATACGTCTCTGTAAATCAATCGTCCATATAAAAATGACAAAGCCATCGATAGGAAAATGTATTAGGAGAAATAGTCTAACCTTCCGTCTCGGCTCGCAACATGCGTGACCTTGTTGGAAAAAAGCACGCAGGTAGATATAATGGAAAAGAATTCGTTTATTTTCCTCTACCTCGGGCCGGAATGTCGTCGACACGATATACAGGATGTCTCGTAATTCTATCCACACAACTAAGCCTCTTGTTAATCGAATAATTTCTAGATTTAGAGATGCATATAACCTACCCAAAAATCTTATCGAGTTTAGAATTGCATTCGGCAAGTTTAAAGACGAGTCGCGTAGTTGTAATTTTCTTAATATCAAATCAACAACGCGTCACCTTGCAATAGGACCTTGATGAAAGAAGGAAAACAGGAAATGTCAACGATTTGCTACAGCAGGCCAGTAAGAACATGTAGCCATGAATAGGCGCACACAACACACAATGTGGGCGTTGACATCGACAAACTATAATCGTAGTTTGTTTAAATAATTGTGTTATTAGTTGTAAAACACTTAAAAAATTCTTCAGCACTGCGTAAGTAAACGGGAGGTGAGTCAAAGCACCGGACGCCGCGTTCTCGGATAATTTTCCAGCATTTTTAGCGCCTTTGAAAATTGAACATTTTCGTACAATAAACCTCGAATTGATAGAGGTGTAAATTCGTTAAATTCGCATAATGAGAAGTTCAAATAAAAATTGGAACTGGTTGTTTTAATTAACGTGCTTCGAGTATTTTTTATATACAGAAACTTTTGTTATGTTTTGGTCTCGCGAGGAGACGTGATAATTTTTGAAAACAATTCTTTTGACCTTAACCATTTCAAGTCTTGCACGATGAATTTTGAACGGCTACGAAAAATATTCTTCTGAAATCAAGGCAAATACCCTTTTAAAATGTAACGCATAAAACAAACCTTTAACATTTTTTTTGTGTACTTAACCATAGAATCTACAATGATCTAAAATAAAATTTCATGACCTTTCACTGGTCTCTTCTCACCTTATTTTCCGGTTACCTACTTACGGTAACATTGAACGGCGACGTTCTCATATTTTTTGATATTGTTCTCTTTAAATACTGGTTGTCCTTTTTGAAATTCTCTTTTTCATTCGTTCGAAACGATTTCAAGAACTCCTGAAATATTGAAAATTTAATTCGCGTTCTGCACGCACATCGAAATGTATACAAGTTTCGCGTATTAAATGCTTGTATTATTTACATCCATTCTCAGATATAATTTCCTACGTAATTTTTGCATCTAAACCGAAGTAGGTAGATAATGAATACCTTGCATGTAAGCTAATTAATGGTGAGATATAATTTTGGAAATGATGTGATATTGGTACAAATTGAAGTTTAAAAGTAATTAATGTAATCGTGCTCGTTAATTTAAAATTGCTTATCTGTCCTCGTTTCTCTTTTACGTACGCTAATTCGGTATTGAAGGATAGAAGGTTATAGGATTTATGACAATGTAAGAATAGCAGGAAACGTCAATTCAGAAAACAGAAAATTTTAATAGAAATCTAGAGAAAGTAGATCCGAGATTGAAGCAAAGTTTGTAGTTTTTTTTTTCGTTTAACAGCAATAATTAAACTCATATTTTAGTGTTGAACGCTTTATGGAATCGTTAGAAGTGAAATTTATAAAATTACAGCGTTTTTTTCTCGCCGATCTCGTGAAATATCGAACGAAAGTGAAAATTTAATTTACCCATCGCTGTGAATTATACAGGGTTTTTTTATCGAATGAATGCACAGATAAACTGACTCTCTAATACAAGTCTTCCGCCGCTTTACGGCCCAATTACGAGGCCCTTCTACCTTCACATTTTGCCCGAACTTCGGATTTATTTTTTTACGACGGCGTGCCGGTACTATTCGTATGTTTTCTTTTGCAGACTGCCGGGGGTGAGTGATTGCTCGGCCGGGCAAACGGCCCGGGTAACCTCCAACCTGCATCCGACGAGTACTATGGCCGTGAGCCGAGTCCCGAGCCCACCGCCACAAGAGGTCAACACTCCTGTTGCTGAAAATTGGTGTTACACGCAGGTTAGTACCTATTCACATGGATTGTTACACAAAATTGCCACGCAAGTAACTCTGCATATTTTACACAGGTCGTACCAATAATAAGGCCCGTGGGGTAGCTTTCATGGGAGATAATTTGTTGCAAGATTAAATATTAGAAGTTTAGTAGGGTTTTACGGGGTGCGAAAGTACCGATGTACAGTACAAGGTTTACTGGTTTCTTTATGGTCCAGTCATTATATGGGGCATCCTTTATATTTAATCGGATATCGCTCCACTTATGCAATACATTATTTTTTTGTGTATTTTAAACTACTTATTACCCTTGAATGATCAATCACTGTCACAATCGCTATGTAATTCAATAGAATTTTGAGGGCGATTATGATTGACTAATCAAATCATCCGATTCAATAATTTGTTTTAATAATTTTAATTAACGAAACATTACCCATTCAATTACTCTTTACGATGATAAATTAAGCGGAATAGTATTTATTTTATTAGGCGAACTTTCTCTTTAAACGACTCTACTATTCAGTAGATGCAATCGCGTTCAATTTGCCGCAATTTACCCCGTATATTTCCACGAAAAGAAAAATAATAGTGGAATTAAACGATGTTATTTATTGCACGTATTTAAATATGCACGGAAAGCAATCGAGAGACGTTGAAATACGATCTTCGAACGCCTTTGTTTGTCTACGCTGTTCTACAATTAATATTGCGCTATTACTTCCTTCGAAAAACGAGTTCAAGGATGGCGGTCAAGTACACGAAATGGCCAGTAATAGATTGAAAGTATTGAAAATTCAATGAAAAACACCGTGGAAATCGACGGACGGAAAATACGGTTTACGATTTGGCGAAACTAGAGAGCCGTTTTTATTTTGTTATCGCAATTTTGGAATCGTTACTAATTTATGATTCAGGTAGTTTTTTGTTAGAATTTAATTAGTCAATTGGAGATTGGGTTGAGATAATATACGTAACTCGTTATTATTATAAGGCAATTAAAAAATGTGCGTAAAAAATTAACAATTTTTGTGAATGAGAATTACGAAATTAATTGTAGGTGTATTATTTAGTAGTGTTCTATACTGAGTTATTCGTTAATTATTCTAGATAGTTTGTTGAACATATTCATTTAGTCTACTTTTGATTAATAGGTATTTACAAAGCTATTAAACATGTTAAAATAGAAAATATATTTCCTTGATGATGATTAGATCTCTATTATGTATTGGGGTTTCCAATAATTTATCGTCGTCTAGATTCATGAAAAAAATATTTGTAACCTTTTTTTGGCTGAAAAATCATATTTTCCGCATTTTCAACTTTTCAAAACTCCCTTAAAATATCCTTTAAAAGTCTTTAGAATCCTTTAAGCTCTATCCCCGGGAAATTTCCTATATTTTTACAACCCTCCATCTCCAGCATCAACCTTGCTATTTTGAAGCACCCGCTACCTGCATAAAAAAATGAACCCGTTGACCTTGTTTCTTTCGAATTTATCGAAAAAAAAAACCAAAAGCGAAAAAAATCCACTTTTATTTAGGTAACCGAGAAAATGCGAACCGTGCGCTCTCGTGCTAAAAACACAGTTTCATACTATCTTTGTAGGTACGCATCCTCGATTTGAATTTCAAAACGAAGTAACGCTTAAAAATCACTTTAAAATTGCAATTTAAACTCTTTTGATGTGCATCCATTAGCGGGGTAAATTGTTTACCTTTTCGTCATTCGCACATAAATATTTGTGTGGCCATTGAGTCGTTTGTGTATGGATTAATTAAATTAAATTGATTTTCGGAAATCTCTCGAAGGGTTTATTTTTTCTCAAAGCGAAATATATTGATTTAATTTTCAGGATTACAAGTTGTAATTCTACGAGGTGTACCTAAAAGATATGCAGAAAATTGTATGGCGAAATCCTTGACACAAAATTATGTAGAAGTGTCTAATATAACCTTTTAATGCCTAAAATTGCATAAATTTGTTTTGTTTAAAAAAAATTATAATTTTGATACCCTATTTGCCGTATTTTGGGTCAAGGATTCTACGCTGGAACATTGTAAATATCCTTTGGGGACACCCTGTAATAATCCACGAACTCTTCCAACCTTGAGCCAGTTAGAATATTGTTTTCAGTTCCAAAGTAATAATTTCTTTTGTACTAACGAAAAAGTTAGAAATTAACACTTTCTACAGATACATGAAATAATATAGGCGACACTTTCATTTACCTTTTCAAAACCTACCGGTCCAAATCAACCTGTAATTCATGGACATTTAACACATAAATCGCCAATTTAAATTTCTAATTGTAAACGATCATTACCAACAAAACTAATGACCATTCGTAGAGCTTTCGACAAATTGCTCTATTAGCGTAGATATTCCGCATATCTCATCCTGTATAGCTAAAATTTCGAGATCACGACGAGCGACTAGATTTTTTTTAGCGAACTGTGTCATCTATATATTTTTTTTTTCGGGAGGTACTTACTTACGTACCTCTCGACTCTCTTGAGAGTTCTCACGATGTTTATGTAACATTTGGTAACGCAGAACAGGTTTGGATTCGCCGAGGATTTCGCTAGATTCCATTTCGAAATGTCGCACATTACCCGAAATACCATTAGATTTGCTCATTAAAAAGTTACCATTACTCTAGATACAGATCGATGAGAATACCCGAAGACGGCAAGGTAATATGCTCAGTCGCATACATTGATTGTCATTATTCAAGTTTAATACATCTAATAGTTAATGAATTGAATCACTAAACTCGCATATCTCACTATACCTACCGAACTGTACATACCAAAAAAATAGATTTTGTATATGAATTGGTGACCTAATATTTCGAACTCCGGTCCTGCATTCTAATGAAACTCGGTTACGAATCTAGGTCAATAAATATATCCCTTTTTTGCCTTGATACTGTAAGTTTGTATATTGTATATTCCTCATTCTATACAATCAATCCGTTCTCTATGTGTGTTTTGAAGCTGATGTGTCAACGGTCGATGAGATTTCGATGAATGTAGGAATATGTAGAAATAGTCGGGCGATTTCGCGTTGAAAAATCGCTCGGCTTGTTCCAATTAATTTTATTTCGCGCGATTTTAGTACGCGGAAAACTTAGTTTGACTTTTAAATGATTTATCGCGAAATTTATTGTTTCTGTAGGTGTTTAAAAAATGGCGATTAAATTGTTTGAAATTTGTAGAACGAGCTCTACCGTGTTTTTCGTCGATTAGTAATGTGCAAATGAATCGATTAAAATTTCTCGAATTTTCTTGAATAAATAAACAAATTTTGGAAATTAATAGTACATTCGTATATACTAATTATTTACCAAAGTCCGTATTCATGTGGATACGAAATTCACGTTCTATTTTTTACAACGTATTTGCAATTATGTGCTGATAACACACAGATCAAGTTTTTTTTTTGTAATATTTTTTTAACGGGAAGCACGTATGCCAAATTCAATTCCTATGTGGTACGAAAAATAATTTTTCCTGTACCGGAAAAGGCGAAAAGGTAATCCGCATGATTTGCGAAACGTCGATTTTGATAAAACGAACGTTCGATTGTATACTAACGTGACTTAGTGAAATAAATAAATTCCTTTTATTATGCGGTGATAGCGCAGTTTCGCATCATCACATATCTCGAAACACGTGAAATCCGAATCTCCACGAGTTTTCTGCCATAAAATTACCGATAAATAATTTAAAAATGATCTATTTTTGGTGAAAAACATGAATTTGTACTATCAAGTGCAATATAGACATATAAGTCTCAAATTAATGTTGCAAACGAGCACCTTTTGATTTTTTTTAGCAATTTATCCGGCTCATTAATTGTTACACATTATTCCGAATTATCATTTGGAACTATACGAATATTTTCCGTTCCATTAGGTAATTGTTTCGAAATCGACTTTCAAAAAAATCGCTTCAACTATATATCATTTTTACGATTTTATTTTTAAACGCAAGGCAATGACAAATAAGCGTTTTGACTTTGAAATGGTTTTTTTCTAAGTTCAATATTTACACAAGCGAAATAAATTCGAATTGTGAATATTATGTAAGCGACGCGTAACACGGTTTCCGATCTGGGTTATATTTGTATTTTTGTAATAATATTACTTATGCGCTCGATGTGCGTGCGATCATCGTTTAATTATTTTCTCTATATCAAAGCGGTGATTCTGATTCGATTGAGTCCATTGAAAACGTCGCTAATTTGTGCTGTTTGTTAAACGTTTTAGCGCTTTATCGCGAGCGGAAATGCGAGAACATTTGGAATATTAGCACACTATTTTATTCTACATATCTTAATGTACCTACTTAAATTGTTACAATTATGTTAATGATATTAATTGTTTGAAGGAAGAACTTGGAAAATTGGGTATTAATGAACGTCCTGTATAGTAAAAATAAATAGATATGTGGTAACATCAAAAGATTGTACTCTCGAAAGTGAAGGCTACTGCTTGTTTATTTGTTTTATGTGTGCATATTTATTTTAGATAATGAATGCAGAAATTAACGAATCGATAATCTACTTTTCGAATTTAATAGGTTCTGATGGTAAATAAATACTTAATTTATGGTACTATTTTGCTTCTATTCATAGTCCTTCCAAGGCGAATTTGTAATAAAGATAGACGTGCATAAAAATAGGGAATCAAGGTTTTCGAATGCTTATTTTATATGTGCTTAAATTTCCCAAAAATCTCGAAACAAAAAGATGGGCGAGCTTAATTGCGAATTTAGAAACCCCTCCGATTATTATTACAGCTCGTCATTAATACACAATGCCTAGGATTGTCTACTCTAAATACTGGTCGACCTACATTTTGTGTAGATAATCGCCGAGTGGTTTCGTTTTCAATTTCAACCCACTTTCGTCTCCTCGACCGATGTTATAATAATCCGAATTGAAGCTCACCAAAAAAACCGGCTCGTTTCGTCGTCATGAAAGCAATTTAGCGTTCGTCGAATAAACAGTTTTAGGCATAAACTATTTTAGGAGGTTTTTTTTTTGGACAAAAGGATGTAATTTAAAAACCGTGAGGTGCATTTGCTTTAATTCGATAAGTAGGTAATTTCGATTTCATATTTATTACGGTGGCACACTTATTCGTTGTTGAATTATGTTAGTTTGTATGAATTGTTAATGCGAAGTAATTTCGTTTAATGTACGAAATTGCCGGTTAAAATAATTACGTGATAACACTTTAAAGCTGCAATGGATGGTTACAATCGTATATTTTAAAAATGTTTTTTTTTTGTTTCCGCATTTAATAAAAGTTGATGGCTATTGGCAATGGTTCAAAGTACCTAACAAGTAATTTTCAAACTGCTTTATTGTAATATATGCAGTATTAAGCACAATTTCCAAGAAAATAATTATCTACCTCTAACAAAATTAGGTCATTAATATCAAATGCAATTTATATTGGGTACACAAAATTGCAATTACATTACCTACAAAAATAAATTTCCCGATTATAATTCAACATTTATTACAGTGTAATTGAACTTAATGAAAGCGACCCTACACCGTTTAATCCAGAAGGTTAATAGCATTTCTTATTCGTTCGCTCATTTTAATCGCTAATGCGCAAATCATAACTTTATTCAGTCGGTTGCAAGGCAAAAGCAAGTAGTGTTTTTACGCCGAGCTTTAATGAATCTAGTACGGTACATGTACATGCGTGTAATTGCTCGCGCATTAGTCATTGTAATTTCTTCTAATTATAGAAGGAAGTGCGTTCAAATTGTTCTATTAATTCAGCGGTTCTATTACATGTGTCAAGGTGAAAATCGGCATTGTTATCAGCAAAAAGAATTTGAATTTAATAATCTAAGTTTTAATCTCAACTAATCCTTTGTGATAGCATATAACATTGATTGAATTCATCTTATTAATTTTGCCTGAACCACCTGAATTGCCAAATAATTAGCGATAAATTCGACATATTTTTTTTTGTTACGCCCAACTTCCCCACAACTGGGGCGCTAAATTTACAATTTCCAACTAAATAATAAATTTACGTTCGGTTGATAAAAAATATTTTGGACTATATTTCACAGGTTGTGGCTTATAGTATTTACACGGAGCCTCGGTTTCTTGCGGATGGGTTCGCTTCGTCCTCTAAATTATTTGAAGTTTGGTTACCTTCTTTCTACTCTGTTTTCTGCCAGTGCCGTACCCAAAAACAAATCAATGCACATTAAACCTAATCGATTAAGGGCTATTATCGCTAGGTCTTTTCAACTTCAAATTGGCGCTAAATAAATTTCGCAATGGCGCTAAACTAATTCGAATTGAGGCTCTATACTCTATATAATCTCTCTTTGAATTAGTTTAGTTTCAAGTTGGTGTTGAAAAGGTACAGAAGTGCACTTAAAATGTGTCCTTTTTTTCTGGAATTAGAGTAACTAGAGTGTAACTAGTTTTAGTAACTAGAATTTTTTCTGTAATTAGAGTAGAGTTGTTTATTTTAAGAGGCAATTATTGTGATCAAAACAATGAAATCCCTTAGATTAAAAAAGTGTAGAAGTTGTTAAAGATTGTTAAAAGAGCATTGCTCAGTTGTCGAGACGTCCAAATGTCTCTAGTTCGAACTTTAAGCGATTAGCTGGCTTTATCAGGCGTTCATTTAGCTAGTAAAAGTATCGATCACGGTGCAAATTGCCGGCGGTTACGCCTATGAACTCGCGTCTATGCTCTACCTCTCTGCTTCTCTGAGCAATCCAATCCCGATGTCCGTGTCTCGGGTCGAAGCTTAATTTTGAGGCCGGAGCCCCGACGTTATTCGTTCGTCGATTCCGACGATTCGGTGTGGCGCGGGACCTTCGAACTCGGTTGGGAAAAGAGAAGAAAGGCGTCCTCGAAAATAAGGTCACACGAGTCTATCACAGACACAAAGCGACCCCCTTTGCAGGGCCGTTGCCGCCGGCTCGAACCCCACGAATTTTCGTGAATAGTTGTATTTTATGTTTTTTTTTCTTCTGTAATTTGAAATGGAGAACCATTGCTCGCCTTGAACGCGACACCGGTGCTTTATGCACACGGGGAATGCAGCTTTGAGGAATGCGTTACGCGGGTGGAATTTTACGCTTGATGGTGTGCGAAGCGACGGTTCGAATGCGGTCCTGGTAATTTTTTTTTTGTTTCGTTCTCTGTCGCATCCTCTGGGAAGAGAGAAACGAGAGAACGGCCGTGATGGCACCGAAAAAATAACCATCGTCCTTGGACGACGCGGCCCTACGAACGAATTTTAAATTCGACGACAAGGGGCAAAAAAATTACGAGAAAATTTGGAACTTGTTTGTAAAATACGCCTTCGGGATTCTTTATATGTTGGTTGATCTGTTTCGTTCCATTTCGCAGCTTGTTATTGTAGTTGCGTATATGCAAGTGCATGCAGGAATTAAATTTTAAAGGAGAAAACAAACCTTCTAGCCTGATGAAGATCTGTTAAATTCCGAAACATGAACTGTTTTGTGCTATAATTAAAAAAAATCATCGTGTATAAAGCGCGAATGTCCATCGATTGATACTTGATAACGGATTCGAGACTTTCCGAAAAAGCAATTCCAAACGAATAATAAAAAGCGTTTAAGTACTACTAGCAATTACGACTTGGAACAATTAGTCCAATTAACCGTGCAAAATCGACCATCGCCGCACCCCTTCTAAACGAAATCAAATTAAACCGGGATGTTGTGAAGGTTCCATTTGCAATCGGAAAATAACAACTGAACAAATAGTCATTCTAATTTTAAATCACCTTTCAATGACCTTTCCAAATTGAGGCAAGTCCGATACACTACAGACTTGTTGAATGGGTATTATTTCTATTTGTACGTTTTAAACGTATTGTTTAGTTGAAAAATTGTATTAAAATTGTTAATTATCACAAAGAAATTATTGGAGTTTCTTGTTTTAAAACCCCTGTTGTCTCGTTTTCTATAAAAAAAAAAAGATTTTTCGATAAAATATAGAAATAATAAGTTGTGACGTCATTGCTTGATTAAAATAAACGAAGTATATCTTAAAAAAAATATAACATGCATTGGTTATAATAATCACGGTAGCTATGGAAATAAGAAATAATGTAATTTGACATTTGACGTTTCGTTTAGATGACATTTTCTTAAGTTTTAAACTTTTTGTGTTGGTTTTTAATATACAATTTTATCGCTGTTAAACATTGAAAGAACATGGATACGATCAAGACGATATTTAAAATAACGCCGGCCTATCTGTTTTCGTTGAAGAAAGTTAGCGATTTCGAACGATTCGCGACGAATTTCGAATGCGTCTAACGTCCATCTTTGTTTTAGGTTAAAGTAGTCAAATTTAGTTACATGTGGACCATAAACAACTTCAGTTTTTGCCGGGAAGAAATGGGGGAGGTTTTGAAGTCCTCCACGTTTTCGGCGGGCGCCAACGATAAATTAAAATGGTAAGTAAGAAGCCTTTGTTTCGTATTATAAATTTCATTATAAACCAAACAGCGCGCCGTGCGCATGCGCGCTTTGATTTTGCTTTTCAAAATGTTAAATTAAAAGGAAATTAATAAAATTTTACAACTAACATTACATCAACTACATTATGTACGTTTCATTTGTAAATAATTCTGAAAATGTTAAATGTTGTTTGAAAATGTCGTTAATTTTACACTTCAGTGTATTTCCCAGTTTTGCATTATAAAGTTTCCAATTTTGCCTATTTATCATTCGAATAGACTCGTAGGGAGACCTCGTAATGTAAAGTAATTACTCGCGTGATGAATATTTATCATTGAAATTGTTTCAGGTGCTTGAGAGTGAATCCCAAAGGTTTAGACGAGGAAAGTAAAGACTATTTATCGTTATATTTGTTATTAGTTTCGTGCAATAAAAGTGAAGTTAGAGCCAAATTTAAATTTAGTATATTAAACGCGAAACGCGAAGAGACGAAGGCGATGGAGAGCCAACGGGCGTACAGGTTCGTTCAAGGGAAAGACTGGGGTTTCAAGAAATTCATCAGAAGGGATTTCCTCTTGGACGAAGCCAACGGCCTACTTCCCGACGACAAATTAACCATATTTTGCGAAGTAAGTGGTACATTTTTATCTATACATTAGTGCAAAATTGTTTGCCTTACGGTCAATTCTATGAGTTGAACAAAGAAAGATTATGGTTAGAGTGAGAAAATTCACCACAATATCACTCTTTCTTTCTCTTATTGTGAACAATTTTGCAACTACTAAAATGCTGTAATTATTGGCAGTGACGTCACTTGATCTAACCAATCACGGTACTCGATTTTTACTCATTTGTATTATCAGCCAATGAGTGCGCTGGCCCAGTAGCGACATCTGTCGCTTATTCATAACTTAACTATTTGAAATGTTCATCAAACTGCGAGAGATATTGTTAATGTAGAATTGCTATAAATGAATTATTATTGTATGTTTTATTTTGTTTTTGTTTTAGGTTAGCGTCGTAGCAGATAGTGTAAATATTTCAGGTCAGTCGAATACAATCCAATTTAAAGTTCCAGAATGTAGATTATCCGATGATTTGGGTTTACTTTTCGAAAATCAGAAATTTAGTGATGTTACTTTATCAGTAGGAGGTAGGGAATTTCAAGCTCATAAGGCTATATTAGCAGGTAAAGAACCCATTTTATTTATGCAATGTAAATGTGCTTACAATATGAGTTGAACAAAGAGAGATTATTAATATAACGGTGGATAGAGTGAGGAAGTTGCAAACCCCAGTATCACTCTTCTTTTTTTCCTTATAATGAGACTTATGGAAGTAGTCTTTGTTGCACCATATTGCATACAACTTTACACTTATCTCTATAAGGTTATTAATCACTTCTTGTTTGTATTTAGTTTTAATATGTATCGTTATTGTTTTTATTGCAGCGCGAAGTCCCGTCTTCCAGGCGATGTTCGAACACGAAATGGAGGAGCGGAAACACAATAGAGTAGATATAACAGATGTAGACCATGAAGTATTGCGCGAAATGTTGAGGTTTATCTACACCGGAAAGGCGTCTAATCTGGAAAAAATGGCGGATGATCTCCTCGCGGCAGCCGATAAGGTAATTCTGCTTAAATTTGCGACGATAAATAAAGATGTTTGTGTAGCCGATAGATTGTTGAAAGGAGACATTGGTCGCTTGGAAATATGTACCATTTCGATCTGATTTTGTAAATAATCGAAATGTTTGTTTTGCAGTACGCTTTAGAGAGGCTGAAAGTCATGTGTGAAGAAGCATTATGTACAAATTTATCAATAGACAATGCAGCGGAAATTCTCATTTTGGCCGACTTGCATAGCGCCGACCAGCTCAAAGCTCAAGCCATAGATTTTATTAATACGTAAGTACTCCGTTGAAACATACATAGAGCCGAATCGAGCTCTTAAAATGCATCTTTACCTGTATTTTTTATTTATTTTAGACATGCCACAGATGTCATGGATACTCCGGGTTGGAAGTCAATGATCCAAACACATCCTCATTTAATAGCAGAGGCGTTTAGAGCATTGGCTACGCAACAGATCCCGCCTATAGGACCGCCTAGGAAACGGGTGAAGCCGAGCTGAAGCTCGTGAGCCTCTCAAAAGCTGCCAATTCGACTGTTTTAATGTGTTCAAATTAAAAAAAATCGTAAGTTCAATAAATTTAAGAGAAATAACGAAACTGGTTAGAACCGTTTCGCTCTTGTTGGATTTCGAGATAGACACATTAATGACGAGTGCTGTTTTTTTTAGTGTTAGGCGTCTTTAATCCTAATTTTTTTTGTTTGTTTTATCACCTATGGCGAGGAGGTTTGCAGATTATAGCGTGTTGGAGAATTTAGTTTTTTTTTTGTTAATGATGAATCTAAATTATGTAAATTATCTTTGGAAAAATAGGCAAGTTTATTTAATATGAATTTAGCGAATACCTGCAATTTCCTCGTTATTCTGTGATTTGTTATGTAACCTTTCTTCTGTAAGATAACATGTTTTGAGTTAGGTGCGGTGAATCGGCGTTTATAAGTTGCTTTCTGTGTAAATCGATTAATAAAAGTACATGCAAAAAGTACTACATACCTACATAGGAACGGGATGAAAATTTCTCGTTTATCGCAAAATAATTTGTTTATTTAAACGTGGATTTGACGTGAACAATAATATTATATGTATCGTCTTTGTCTCCGAGGAAAAGTGATCAACGTAGCTACCTCAACATAATGATAGTAATCGTATTACCTAGCAATATTTCCTAGCCTTTGTACTTGTCATTTTGAAAACGTCTCAGCTACATCAAATGGCAGAAAAACACTTTTCTAGGGCTATGTGTATGTTTTAGAAATAAGCGAAACTGTTACGAATCCACGATAAAATGTACAATAAACGAAGACTAAACGCTCGATTCACCAGCCCTTCAGAAACAAAACTGAATTGTGATATATATACGACCACAGCAGGTTCCTAATCGGGGACACTCGACCTTGTAATTTTAGTCTTATTATTTGTCTTGATCTCTTGATTTAAGTTTAAGATCAAACGCAAAATCAAATAAAAAAAACACCTTGTTAAACTAAACTGATGTTTCTCAAATTGAATTTCAACGTACGCGCCCCGTGCATACGGGGGGATTGCCGAATAAAAATAAAGTGCTTTTCGTTTAAATTAAGTTTATGGTTTTATTGGAGCCACCGAATTGGTTTTTGTATAAATGTTAATGCGATTGTTTCCAAATTGATTTGATACTGTGGCGCCAATCATTTTATTTATTAAACATGTCCGTCCTTCGTTTGAAATTATCGTACATATCTCCTTGACGGGGCTGCTAATTGAGCGACTCTTTTATAATAGAATGGCGTTAATTGATTGCTTAATTTCAAATCTACTACAATATTAATTCAGATCTTTTCCAGATATTAATTCTCTAGTTGCAAATTTTTTAAACAGGTTTTTTGTTGTGCTCAGTTGGTACTCTCGCCATTTAAAGCTGATATTAAGGACATGTGGTTTTGGCTTAAACTTAAAATTGTAAAAATGAAAATAATTGTATAGTAACAGGTCCGATGCGATTTGGACCGTATTTTTTGCGCGGCGCATTTCTTTTGTATCATTCTGTATAAAAGTTAATGCTTTGTTTTCATTTTATTTTGTAAGAATAGTTGTGAATTTGTGATAAATAAAACAATATGCAAGGTAAAAATATTTGAGAAATTAAATTTTGTGATAAGGTTTGCGTTTTTTTTATCCGTTGATTTAATTACGCGGCCTGAATATAAAATCTCTCAAAGGATCTCTACTTTGATCTGGGGACCCCGCGATCACGAAAGCAGACTCCAGCGCCTCTATCGTGGAATGAAAGTACCACATTACATAAACAAAAACATTGGATTACTGAAATGGCCATTTACTGCATGATTATACAATCATCTTTTTTCATAATTCGCAATCACAAAGACTACATACTAAAGAATTTTACAATAAATTATATTATTGAGTGAACATCACTATGTATGTACATTTTCAGTCGGCTCTATTCTGGAATTAAACCAAATGGGCGCGTTTTTAAATTCACTTTTTAATGAGAGTGCATTTTCTCTTTACATGTATTCAACTAAAATTAGAGGTAAATTTAAAAGCACGCCCAATTTTATCTAATTTACGTAATTGACTCGGGAAGCTTCAAAGCTAAATATTGCTTGTGTAGTCTCTGTTTACAAAACTCGTAGAACTCAATTTCCTTGGTAAAATTCTTTCTCACTATATTCTTCACTTCTTCGCTAACTATAGGCTTAAAAATGTTCTTGTTGATCGGATTATAACGGCTAATTTCTTCTGAAAAAATAACCATATTAAAATTCGATTCCCAAACAGTAACTGTACAATTTGCATTACCCCAATAAATCTCTGAGGCACCTTTAAAAAATCTAGGAACGTAATTTTCCAATACTGTCAGTGTTGTATTCAAGTCCTCCAATACACCTACGACGGCATAATTTCGCTCGACCGCATTTTTAGCTCTCTCTAAAGCGCCTTCGGTGTTAAAAGGCAGGCATTCGGGATGATGACCACAGAAGAACATAGACTGACGCCTGTGATCCCCAATTCCTTCCCTCACCTCGCCCGTCACATATCGACATTCACGGTCGTTTGAAAGTACACATTGCTCAAAATCCTATCAAATAATGATTGTTTTTAGATTATTAGCTGGTAACGAAACAAAACAATATACCTTCTTTAACCATTTGGGGTCCGGTAACGGTATGTCTGGAAAAGCGATTTTTCTCTCCACGTAATACCAAGGAGCTCGTACATAATAATACCAAGAAATTACTCTTTCAACAGGATCTCGCACTAAATTAATGTATATGGGTTCCGGAAGGCCGAATCTGCAACAACATTAAATAAATCTAGTTATACGTTAACTGATGAAAGTTTTAAACTCTTACTTAGAAACGTTTGTGAAGCAGACGTGTTTAATGTAAACTCCGGGTGGGTCGTAACTGGAAACTAGAGCGGCGAGAATAGCTTGATCTTCTGGCGACAATCTGACGGTTTCCACTCTTTGGACTTGGTCTTGATGGAAGCCGAAATTGTTTCTGATACTGAGTCGTCTCATCAATTCCATTAAAGTTTGCGATCCTACTTTAGGGACACGATTAAAGAAGATCGTTTCGACTTGCGCTTTTCTTGTGTTATTTAATACCATTGGGTCTAACATGGACATCTGCAAGTGGGAGTGTAATTTAATTCAAACTAATGAGAGAAATTGATTGCTCAGTTTTATTGGATTTATAATTTAAAACTAACCTGGCCTGTACTTTCCAATAATTTCATTGTTGCTTTAACGCCGCTTTGTTCAGAGGGCCCGCTTTCACCTGAAATGGTAAATTAGATATAAAATTGAGATAATTTTATAAGGCATCGCGTTTAAATAATCACAATAAGTATTAAAAAGTAACATTTTATAAATGTAATTTTTTTTAAAGTTTAGATATGTTAGTTTAAAAATCTGTCATCTGTCACTGTATTTTCATATTCAAATCAACATTTTGGCCGAATAGCCTCGCAAGTTGTAGCCTTTGTATGAAAGAAGAAGACATATTCTAATGTCAAATAAATTTTTGTCCAGAAAACAAGGATAGTCATATATACATAATATAATATCACGAATTGTGGATTTATGATTTAGTAAAAGTTAAAACAATAAACAATATAATCAATGTAAAGAATATAATTTATCATACATTGCTAAAAAGGTGCTCAAAATTGCATAAATATTTTCTTATTCGATTATACCAACAGAACGTATAGTTGAGTGCAGCACTACTTTACACTGGTTTCACTTAATGAACCAAGTATAAACCACGTGCTTTCTTTTTATTTCTGTTCTCTTTTATATCTACTTAGCCAAACAAGGACGAAGGCAATTTTTTTAATATTTGTTTTGACATTTGACAATTGAGTTTTGAAGAGAAGAAAGATTTTTTTATTAATTTAATTTAGTTAAATAGTATTTACAATAAAAACTTTTATCGTTTAATCGTTTTCTAGTTTGTATGTCATATCTGTGATATCGTTAAAACATTATTAGTTTTTGTGCCAATTTCACGATGTAAAATGTGTGTTTATACAAAATAAGTGTTTACTTTGCAGAAGTGAAGAGATAAAAAATAACAAAATGGATAATTTGAGCCTTTTATGGCAAGAAGCCGAAAATATTCAAAAGATGTTGCCGTGGATTGATGATATAATAGACATTATTCACTACATGAGCAAAATTCCCTCTGAGTTCTGCAATATTCGAGTACCAATATCCCTTGATTATTTTTTAAAACTCAGGGATAAAGGTGAAGACAATTTGAAAACGAACATTGAAAATGATGCTAGGGATATCGAAAACTTGTTGCCGGACACAGACCACAATGCACTAATTACTAAACTTCAAAGTTTAGGTAATGTACCAAATCGCAAAGAAGTAGCTATTAGGCAGCTATTGAAGGATCGGAAAGACTTGCCAACTATTCAAAATGCTCTCTCAAAGAAGGTATCAGAAAACTCCAACAAAATTTCTGAGCCTAGTGAATCCAAATTAATTGAAAAATCTGAGTCCAATTTAAATGAAATGTCCAAGTCCATTGAACTCAATTTGAATGAAATGTCCGAGTCCATTGAACCGAATTCAAATGAAATATCCCAGTCCAATGAGCATAATTTCAATGAAATGTTCGAGTCCATCGAGACCAATTTAAATGAAATATCTGAACGCATTACTTCCAATTTAAATGAAATATCTAAGCCCATTGAGCATAATTCAAATGAAATGTCTGATTCCATGGAGACCAATTTAAATGAAATGTCTGAATGTATTGCGTCCCATTTAAACGAAGTATCTGAGCCCATTGAACATAATTCAAATGAAATGTCTGATTCCATCGAGACCAATTTAAATGAAATGTCTGAGCGCATTGCGTCCCATTTAAACGAAATATCTGAGCCCATTGAGCATAATTTCAATGAAATGTCTGAGCCCATTAAGACCAATTCGAATGAAATAGATGAGCCCATTGATTTTAGTTTAAATGATATATCTGAGTTCGTTAACACCAAAGTACAGGAAATATCCAAGTCTAGTGATCCTGACATGGATGAAATAGCCGATCCTAGTGCGCCTAACTTAATTGAAAAGCCTTTTAGTGTCTACCAAAATATTAGTCAAGTTTCAGATTTTCAAAGGTAAGTTGCAAAATTCCTGAAATTCTAATCTAAAACTCGATAATAATGAAGAATGTAAACATTCAGCATTAGTACGGGTGTAAAATACAACATTACCCATTTTAGTATTTTAATCCGAATTTTTTTTAGGACGTTTTCAACTAATATGTTAGAAATAAACCTTCTTTCAAAGCCGGCAATAGCGAAATCGCGAGCTGTCTCAGACGCACCTGAGCATTCGTTTGATTCACAAGACATTACAACAGCTGAACTTCTCAATCTAGGTAAAACTGGTTTTCGCCGAATACTAGATAAACCAATTTCAACTTTTTCTTTCTTCAGATTTACCCGCAACTTCAGTTCCAAACTTCGCCAATACGGAAGGTAAATATTTTTAAATACCATTCGAATCGGTTACATTTATTTTATTTTCAGACATACCAACTACTGCGATCAATCTTAGCTTCGAGGACGCATGTCGTAGGACGATATCGAGCCTCACAAGGCACGCTGGCTCATCAAATACTAATTCAACTCAATACGATATGCAAAATCCTCCAATGAACCAACAGTCTTCTAACAACGCACCGGCTGGTGACTATCACACCGAATTCATGACCCATACAGCCACAGTTACAAGCGAACATGCGCCAGCAACCACAGCATACGGTGGAATTGTTTCTGATCAGTCTCGATGTCGGATTTGTCCTCCAATATTAGGTGCATACAACGAATTCGTTTACGGGAATCCACAGGTCCAGCCAGAGATCCGGGTCAGGCCTAACTCGGAATTGCTGATGGCCCGCAGCCTCTCGGACGACGCTCGTTTAAGGCGATACAATCTACTTAACAATTCCACGATTACTTCGTCGTCCGCGTTAAATTCAAATTCGGGAAGGGAAACGATGAAACGTCCTCATTCCGCGGAAAACAACGACGGCGCAGCGCAAGATGCTGCTTCGCGACACAATCCGTTCCTCGACGGCATCGGATTCGATCAGTTCCAAATCCCGGGTTATCTGTTACAAAACGATAAAGCCAGCGAACCTCCGCGAAGAAGGATCGCCGTCCAGAAGGCGAAGTTATACTGGGAAAATGACGCCGTTGAACTTGTACCATCGACATCAACATCGAATTCGAACATCAGAATCCGAGAAGTCGATGACGTAAAACCGTCGCTCACGAACCCGGAGAGCGTGCACAAAGAGATGCTCGTGGAAGAAATCAGCGACGATTCGATACCCGACGACGCTGTTCTGGACGATAAATTGGTGAGGAAATTAATGGAAGTCTTTCCGGACGCTTGTTCCGATTACATCAAGCGAATATCCAAAGGAAAGACGGTCGGACAGTTGAACGAACTGATCAACGGCCTGTTGGAGAACGAGTACCCGAAGAGGAGCGCCAGCCCGCCGAAGAAGTTCGATCCCGACGAGCAATTCGAATTCGTCAAGGCCCTATTGCCCGACGCCGATCCCACCTACTTGAGACTGAGATGCGAAGGCATCGGGAACGATCCGGACGCCTTGAACGCGTTCATCAACAACGCCAGGGAGTTGAAGAACTATCCCACGATGAAGGAGTACCTGCAGAAGCAGAAGTTCTCCGCCCAATGCAAGCAGTACACCACCGAATTCGCCGTGGAGCATTTCGTCGAGGTGTTTCCCGATCCGGAGGGCTCGTTCAAGGACGCGAACAGAAAGTGCGTGATCGACGAGTACGCCAAATCGTACATCAGCAAGTTCTTCCGGAACAGGCACTGCAAATTGAGCGTGGTCGCCATACAATCGGTTTTGAGAAAGAACAACTACAGAATTATGGCGTCCGAGGAGGTTTTGCGCGAGGTCGCGCCGGATTTGAAGAGAACTCGGGCGCAGCAAATGCTGGTGGATCCGCCGCTCAACGTCGCGGTTCTGCAGGAGATCGCCTATCTCGCGCACAAGGAGGAGATCGAGACCTACATGAAGGAGTTGAAGGAGAAGAGGGAGGCGGAACGCCGCGAGGCCAAGGAGAATGGTCTGTTCCAGACCTGCCAGTGCTGTTACGACGACGAGGTGATGCCGAACGAGTTGTTCACTTGCCCGAAAGGGTGCGAATTTTGCGGTAGTTGCATAAAAAAGAGTAGCGAAATTACTCTCGGCAAAGGCGAAATTAATGTTAAATGTTTGAACGATTGCATCGAAGAGTTCTCTATTGCTGTGTTACAAAAGGTGATGTTTCGTTTTTGCTTGATGTAGTCCGATTTGTGTTAATGTTGCTAATTTTATCGCAGGTGCTACCGCCTAAGATGTTTTCCGTATTGGCCCAGAAGAAGGCCGTGGCCGAGGTGAAAGCGGCCGGCATCGAAGACCTGGAAACCTGCCCGTTTTGCGACTTCGCCAGCATACCGAACGGCGCCGACAGGATATTCCGCTGCCTCAATCCGGACTGCATGAAGGAGTCGTGCAGGTCGTGCAAGAACGAGAACCACATCCCGTACAGGTGCGACGAAGTGGAGAAGGACGACGAGGTGAAGGCGCGCGTGTTCATCGAAAACCAAATGACCGAGGCGCTCGTGCGCACCTGCTGGCGTTGCAAGAGGAAATTCTTCAAAGAGGAGGGATGCAACAAGATGACGTGCACGTGCGGCGCCAAGATGTGCTACATATGCAGGGAGCCGCTGACCAATTACTCGCATTTCAACGGCATCGGCGGCGACAAGCATCACCTGTGCCCGTTGTATTCGGACAACCTGAAGTTGAACCACGAAAGCGTCGTCGAGGCCGCCGCCACTGCCAAGACTAAAGTCGACGCGTCCAAGCTTAAGGTGGATCCGACGGCGGATCTCGAAGAGCATTATAAGAAGAGAGCGAAGAAGCTGCCGGTCGAACCGCACGTGCACGTCCTGAATAGGTTCCAAGGGGGGATACCGCGGCCGCAAATTAGGTTTCAAGGAGTCGTACCGCGACAGCCGCACAGGGGAAGAGGTCGCCGGACCAATAACATTCATTAGTAGGTGCGATTTATTGAGATTTTTTTTACCGTTATTAGATGAGATTTTAAAAGAAAAACCAAAAAGTTTGTTGTCTATAAATTATATGTGGTTAGTTTTGTACATGTTCCCGTTTTCGTTTTCAAACACTAATTCTTCATTCGTAACTTTGATAATACGCAAGGATTGATACAAAATCGATCGTTTGATGTTTATGATTCAGTGAGAACGGTCAAAATTGTTTAAATTATATGTCAAACTTGGTATAGTTGAAAATCGCAGAATTTGAAGATTTTTTACTGTCAAAATTGCTTAAGTAAACTGTCAAACTTAGTATAGTTGTCAACTGTCAAACTAGTGCTAATAATTGTCGAATTTTGGGGTTGCGAATGAAACTGGTTCAAATCTATAAGACTTTTGATTATCGTTCACAGATAGAACGCCGATTGCTCAACTGTCGAGCGTGATGGAGCGATTCTATTTTACCGAATTTAAATTAAAATTTGTTTTATGGTCATTTAAATCGGCTTATTTAAAACTTATTGATTTTTTCCAGTTGGTGTTGTGAACTGCTATTTTCTAACTAAATATAAAAAGCGAAAATGTTGTGTTGTCTATAATTTGTATTAGCGAGTTTTTGTAAGTTTCTATTTTTGCTTTCGAAGACCTATGGGCAATTTTGTAAAACTTTTAATACTCTAATTTTTATATATACACACATTTATCAGTGAACAAAGTTATACGAAATCTGCCATTTATCTCGATATATTTAGTTAGTCAATAGATTAGATTTAATTAAAATTGTACATAAAATAAAAACGTTTATTATGTTGTATTTTTCTATATAATAAAAGGATATTTTTGAATCAATGTTTTAATATAATGTAAAAATAGTATAAATTAATAATATAAATATGATTTTTTAATTAACTTTTAAATTGTACTAGATTTCCTTATATTTTTTAAACTGGCAACGTCGAACATTACATCTCAAGGTCACAGAACTACAATATTGACAAATAAGAATTTTATGTTCTATGTGTGCTATTCATAGCGACCGACCAACTACTACCTACTCGTCTTTATTTTACGGCAGTAATTAATAAATAAAGTTAAAATAATAAATCAAGCATCAAATTATAGTTAGCAATTGGAGGAGAATAAACACAAACTACCCTTTTAAAATTATGTTGGCAATCCTTCCTTTTTCAAACGGAATTTTACTGCGCGTGCCCAGTAAAAAAATTTAAATTCAACGGTTTCCTTCGTTTGTTCGTTTCACATCTTCGTTCGCGTCATTGCTTCGTTTACGTTGAGTGTTCTTTGTAGTTTTGGTTTTTAATTTTAATTTTTAATTGTTTGCAAAAGTATCTTATTTTTATGTTTTACACAAAATTGATGATCAAGTAAGTATAACATTCTATAAATTCTTACGAAAACTATTAAAATTATGCTCAAAAGTACTTTACATTTTGTTCGGATTGTATAGGATAGGTAGTTTACGTTGTCTTTAGAATTGATATTTGAGTACAGTAATGCTTTTTACTTGTATAGTAAGTTGGGTTAATAGAGTTAAAGGATTTTTTTAGGTAATTTATATTGTACCTAATTAAAATTTTTGCTTCTGTACCGGGTGGCCAATAAATGACCTTTCGGATGGCATTATCTTGCAAACTAATTTTCGTTAAGACTTATTCGAATTATGACTAATTTGGACGAAAGAAAATGCTAGAGGTTATCATCTATAAAAAGTATAATATTGTTGCATTAAATTTTTTAAGAAAACCGATGTTATTTGAGATAATGTTGGAAAACGCTATGGATAGATGCCTTTATACAAATGCCTCAATAGCGAGCGAGAATATTGTGAATATACATTTTGATAATACATTAACGGTATTTTTCTGTCTAAGCGAATATCGATAAAGACCTGATAAAGACAGGTCTCCTTGTAAAAAACAAGATAGATACAAATAGTAATATAAATACAAACATTCGCACTTTAAAGCGAAACTGGTCAATAACAATAATTTTTAACACTACTCTAGCCACTGTATCCAGCATGCAGCATATGTGTTGCAACTTAATTCGACTTGGTTTCGATTTGTTTTCGACTTACAATTAAACGATTAGTCATTGTCAGTTATTTCAGTACCAAAGTATAGCATTCTTAATCTATTTACGATCAAATTATTGTTAGCCCTGTATAGAGCCATTTTTTTGTTTTTCTTGAATGGATTTAATATGGATAAAATAGGTGGTGTGCTTGCAAAAAACTTAAATAATAAAAAAACTAGTATATTTGTAGGAGTTTCAATATTTTAATTAAGCCTTTTTCAGCTTATATTTAAACTATTTTACACATTTAACCACAGTCATAAGTTCATGTTACATCATCGAATAAATATTTAAAACGTGAAATTTTCAGATATTGACATATTCAGTTTTTGAATTTGAAAACTTCAGTTGGTAATTCCATTTTATTACTATTATAAATATTGTGCTAGTCCTCGTTTAAAAGAAGCTATGCAGTATTCCGTTTGATATACGGTTTACTGGTTCGATTAAAGTAAGTTTTAGAAATTTGTGGCAAACACTCACTTGCGTAATTTATTCACGTATAAATTCATCGAGAAAAGTCATACATGTTTCAAAACAGTTATTGAATACGTAATGTAAATCGTATCAAAGGTTTTGCACTTAAATTAATGTGTGTTGAGTCTTAATACGATATGTGTTGCAAAGTATCGGACTTGTAGGAATCTAAATTTATTTTTAATTATTATGAAAAAGTTTGTTTATGTGTAAGTACCGTTTATTGTGAGATACATTTCTACTACGATTCGTAATTTGTAATTTTCTATTGCAGTGAAATATGGCTGACAATACGTCCATAAGAGTCGCCGTAAGGGTCCGGCCTTTGCTGGAAAATGAAATTAGCAAAGGCTCGAAGGAAGTGGTCGAAGTTGTGGACGCCAACAAGCAGGTGGTCATTCGAAGCGTGGACAGGGACGCGGCGTACACGTTCGATCACGTCTTCAACAGCAAAACCGAAGAAACCCACGTTTATAAATCTTCGGTGAAATCCCTCGTAGAAAATTTATTTAAGGTGAGGCTTTACTCGATTACCGTTCGAAATACTAAAATGTTACTCCGATTTTCAGGGGTTTAACGTCACCATACTGGCGTACGGACAAACGGGATCCGGTAAAACCCACACCATGGGTACAACGTATAACGGTGACGGGCCCATGGGTATAATTCCACAAGCCATCGTGGATATTTTTAATTTTGTTAAAGATAATTTCTCGTACGACTTCAACATTACCGCTTCATTCACAGAGCTGTACCAAGAAGTTCTGTATGACTTGCTAAGCGATAAGCCTCGAGACCAATGCACGTTAGACATTCGAGAGGATTCCTCGAAGGGTAAATACTAATATACCTCTCCTAAATGCAAAATTAATATCATTTTTGCAGCCATTTATATACCTAACATCACAGAAATCGAAGTGAATTGTGTTCGGGAGGTGTTCGAGATACTAGAAAAAGGGACGAGCCGTCGGGCGACGAGCGCTACTGCGATGAACGCTCAAAGTTCCCGCAGTCACGCCATATTCACCCTTAACTTATCGATGACTCATAAGGAAGACTGGTAAGTTGAAATTGATAAACACTTTGTTGTATTCGTTAACTTTCCTTCTAATCGCAGCATGATGAACAAGCAAGGGAAGCTGCACCTGGTAGATTTAGCTGGCAGCGAGAGGCCCAAAAAGACGCTCGCCAGCGGCAATACGTTTAAAGAAGGCGTGAATATCAACAGGGGACTCCTTGCGTTGGGCAATGTGATTAGTTTCTTAGGGGACGAGAAGACCCAAAACGCTTTCGTCTCCTATCGAGACAGTAACTTAACAAGACTGCTAAAAGGTACAATCGCTTGTGCTTCCATAGGAGCACTAATTAATGCACGCGTTTAATGATTTCAGATTCGCTGGGGGGCAATAGCATAACTTTGATGATAGCGTGCATTAGCCCGGCCGATTACAATTTAGATGAGACTTTATCGACGTTACGGTATGCGGACAGGGCGAAAAAGATTAAAAACAAGCCCGTCGTTAATCAAGACCCTAAAACGGCGGAGATTAACGCTCTGAAAAAGACTATACAACAACTAAAGTTACAAATCGCCGGCGAAGGTACTTCGAATCGTTGCATTGCCTTAAGCCGATGATAACTTTAAAATTATGTGTTTTCAGAGGTTCCTGTTGTATGTCGAGAAGAGTTGGAAACCGTGAAGAGAGAATACGCGGAGTTGAAAGCCAAGTATCGGGATATCAGCTTGCAGCTTTCATCGGTGCTGGTTATCAATACCGGTCTGTACGAGAAGATACAAATCCATCAGACGTCCCACGATAAAATCAACCAGAAAGTGTCGGAGTTCAAAGACAGTTTCTACAGCAGTTTGGAAAAATTGAACGCGGCCATCCGGGAAAATGATATCGAAACCGTGCAGGATGTAATTTCCAAATTACAAGATATAAAAAACGACGTAGAGGAAATAAGTTCTGAACAACAACAAACCGATAAGGAAATTAGGTGAGTATAATTTGATTATTAAAATTGCAAGAATTAATATTATTTTATTTCAGTGACCACGACAGCAGGAAATTTACAACAAGATTTACACCCGAAGAAAATGGCCAGGGCGACGAACCGGACGAACTCGACGATGAAGAGCGGGAGAATCACGCCGACAGGCAGTTGAAATTGAACGTCCAACTGACCGAATTAGACCGAGAGTTGAATATCAAGGAGAACCTCGCGAAACAGCTAACAAACATGCAACACTTGGTTGATTTACAGGTATAATAATTTCGCGAATTCGAATCGTTTTAACTTTACTTAATCGACGATTCGTCGCGCAGGCTTTGCAGGAAAACGAAGCGAAAATCGCGCAGTTGGAACGCGAAAAAGAGGATCTTTTGCAAATGTTGAAGAACGCCGGTAATTCGTGCAAAATCGCCGAACAGCGCAGGAAACGCATGCAGGATTTGGAACAGCAATTGCTCGATTTAAAGAAAAAAGTAAGAATTTTTTAGTAACTACTTTCCTTGTTCCACGCGCCCCTTTGAATCCTGTTTAAGTGCCAAATTGTTTGCTGGTCTCATATAAAAGAAAAAGAGTGATAGTGTGATGTTGTTTTCATAGAATCGTCCATATTTCAAACTTCTTACTGATTTATTATTATTAATTGACGAATTTGCAGGTTCAAGAACAAAACGCCCTTCTTAAGCAGAAGAACAAGGCCGAGGAGCGCGTCAAGATGCTCAACAACGAAATCGTCCAAATTAAACAGGCCAAAGTGAAGTTGGTGAGATCGATGCGCGAGGAATCGGACAGGTTCCGGCAATGGAAGATGGAAAAAGAAAAGGAATGCATCCGGCTCAAGCGAGAAGACAAAAAGAAAGAGTTTGAAATCAACAAGATGAAATCGCTTCACAACAAGCAGCAGAACGTGTTCAAGCGGCGAGTAGAAGAAGCCGAGGCGATCAATAAGAGACTGAAGTACGCGTTGTCTTTGAAGCAGCAGGCGCAGGAGATGCGGAGCACCGGCAAAACCGATCGGCTCGAGCAATGGGTACGATCCGTTTGTTTTTTTTTAATTTGGCGGACGTGTAACGAAGTTGTTTACTTTCAGCTCCGACAAGAGTTGGATTTGTACATAAATTTAGTCGAAGCCGAAGCGACGTTGAAAGTGCTCCTAGAGGATCGGGCTACGTTGCAAAATATGAAAGACAATTGGACCGACGAATGCGCCACTCAAGACCTCAAAACTATCGAGGAGGATTTGGAGTTGAGGAGCATACAAATTAGCGATTTGCAAACAAAATTACTCGCTTCCGACGAAGGTAACAAGAAATCATTTAAAATGTAATAATAGGACTTGAAATATTGTGATTACTTTCAGATAATCGATCGAAGTTTCGCATTGAAAAGTTTCAAAGCATGTCCGAGGCTAAATACGGGATAAAATTTTTGTTTGTGAAGTTGGGTGAAGTTGTTAAAGAAAAGGTCGGGTTCCAAATGAGGAACAGCGAACTACAAGAGGTGAATAAGGAGGTAAGTACCGGGAATGCAACATGGGGACCGTCTGATTTATTCGATTTTTTTGTTTTAACAGACCATTGAAAAATTGAAGAACGCGAAGAAAATTCAAGAAAACGACGAGCTCTTGAAGGTCCAATTGCAGAAATATGAAGATAGAATAGCCCTCCTGACGAAGGAAATCAACGAAAACGCTGCTTGTTCTAGTAAGTTGTTGATGATCAGTTAGTGTAGTAGAATTATTGTTTTATTTTTAGTAAACGAGAGCGATCGAACAACGAGAATCGAACAACTTCAGAACGAAAATAGACTTCTCAACAACAAACTGTTGTCTTTAATGGTAATGAAATTATATTTCGTTTAATACTTTACATTAATTTTTTTTTTCAAGGAGCGACATAACAGAGATAGCAAGGATAATACAATTACAATGCCTGAGGTGAGTAATTTAATTTGTTTTCCTTCGGCTACTGAAATTCTATTTATTTTTAGAAGAAGGAACTTACGATTTGCAATACACCGGAGCGAAACGTCAGTAAAATAACTCTGATTACTGACAAAGTAAGTTCTTTTTACCGTGCTTCGATGACGATGCGTTAATTTCTGTAATATTTTAGAATCAACAAGTCATCGGGACGAGGATACCACCGTTAAAGGAGCGAGATGAGAACGAGATACCGAATGTAAGAAATTGACGCTTTCTATAATAATCTAGTTTTGTTATCGATAACAGTTCATCGATACATCTTTGCATAAAGTATTTTGATTTGTGAGTAATATTTTTCAGGGTAATTTTATGTCGCCTTTGTGCGAAGAGGACGATGATGATATCGAAAAGGATCCCGATTGGAGAAAGACCCCCTACGGGAAGTTTCTGTTGGACGAAAAAAAGAAAATAAGTAGAAGTACAATTAGTGAGTGTATTTAAAGTGTATAAATTGTAGCGGCTGTGTTTAAATGCAACATTAATTTTTAGATAAATTGGGAAGCTTGGAACTGGGAAAGCGCTCGTCGGATGGAGGCTGTACATGTAAAACGAATTGCAATGGACGTTGCGGATGTAGGAAGGTAGGCAGGGAATGTTCTGATTTATGCAAATGCCGGAGAGACGTGTGTCAAAATCAGGAGAAGGTATTGAATTAAAATTTCTCTTTTTTATTGTGTTTGTGTAAGTCCGATAAACGATAATTTTTGCATTGAAATTTTACTAATTCAAACGATAACTGACAATAAATTTAGGGACACATTCAATTCCTTAGTTTGCAAATCATTTAGGTTTAGCCGGCATTGCATTTACTGTATTTGTTTTGTATAATATAAAACTGCGCCCAGCTTTCGTAAACCTCTCCTGCATGAAACATTTTTGAGGGAAGGGACCTAAAGTACAAGACTTAAAATTTTTTCCTAATTTAGTACAATTTGTTTCAGTCTGGCTCCACAGAACCGCATACAAATAGTGACGGCAAAAAACCTACGTAAGTACATGTTACAAATTATTACTTCATATTTGATTATTATTAAAAAACATTAAAAAGTTTGACATACGTCAAAGTACTCGATATAAACCATATGGGTAAGTGCAAATGTGGTTGCAATATGGTCCTATGATGTTGACAAAGAAGGATTATTAATATAAGGTGGTTAGAGTGAGAAAGTTGGAGTCGCACTATATCTTGCAGTTAAAGTTGTCTTTGTTGCACCCATAGATCATATTGCGTAGAACTTTGCAGTTATCTGTATGTTCATATTATTGACAAGTTTATAGCGATGCTTACACGATAACTAGCATCACGCGATATCCAGTGATTGGAAATGAACATGTTATAATTTAATCTGGTGTGATTGTAAATGTACAAATTAATTTAAACGCCCGTTTTAATTGTATTAACGTTTTTGTTACTTTCGTTTTGGATTTTTGAAGTACCCCTTGACATCTCTTTTTATGTTTTGTTTAATGCTTCCGAGTTTTCACTTTTCGTTTATTTTTGTCATTCGCATGTCGTTGCTCTCGTGCATACAAATTTCACTTTTGTGTGTGTTTTGTAGTTACTTTTGTATTTTGAGTTTAATTGCGTAAAAGCGTTTTCGTCATTAGGAGAGATAAAACCGGCAATTTTGTTTTTCGATGATCTTTGAAATTTAATGTTTTCCATATTTTTTACTACCTTAGGAAATTTTGAGAAAAATCGGCGATAAAAAATATTCCTTGTTTGTAGTTTCAGATTTACTGTTAAAGCAAGAAAAGAAAGATTTTGTGTCATTTGTTGATAGAATTGCACGTGTTTTTACCTTTTTTAATTGGATTATGGTTTTTGTTTTCATAAGCGGAAAATTCAAATATACATATAAAGCGAAGATAATTTTCTCATGCATAGTAAGATTATTTACTTATATTTCTAATTCGTAAGTGAAAAACAGTTTGGAATTTGTTTTTTTAACCTTTTTTGTTGCCAAATTTATCCGACTGTGCCTCATTTACCCAATTATTCTTTTTATTTGCTTTTTTAACTCTATAAATTTAATACAATTATTATTTTTAATTTTTGCAACAAATCCTATTGACAAAGTCATCGAACGAATAAAGATAGCTGGTTTTATCTTCTTAAAAAAAGCTCTCAGAATCAAAGAAAAGTTCTCAAAAATCATGAGTCATTACGAAAAATTATATTTTACAATTTAATCCTACTCAAACTGGCTTTCCTACGAATATATGGCTATCGATAAAATTGATTATTGGTTACTTACAAATCACTTTCTGATTTTTAAGTAGACATTCGGATTCGATTAATGGCGTTCAAGTAGTAGAACTAAGTCTAAATAGCCGTGGGCTTTCGACGACCGCTAAAAAAAGGATATGGTTTAAAAATAAATGATTTTCAGAGACTTTAAGCGATGCAAGTCGGCAAGTATTTTTCGCCATTTGGACAATCGATTAATTTCCCGTTTTGTGTTGCAGATTCGACGACGCCGGAGTTCCGGTTAAGAGAAGAAAGAAATCATGACATTGCAGCAAATGTAATTTGTAAATTAATTTATTAATTTGTAAAAAGTTTTAAAACTTGTTTTAAATGTTTGTAGGAATGTTTATACATGTACTGGTAGTTTTTAAACATAAGGGTTATAAAATGTTGGTGGTTGTAGAGGTTATAAAATGTAAATTTTCTGTATTGACATTAGTATCTATTTAATTAACGTTAAGAAACCGCTATTAACTAAATTATTGCATCTCTTTCATTTTATGTATTGTACTATTGGATCCTAATCAAAACTTAATTTATTATTATATTACTATTAGAAAAGAACTTTTTATTTAGTGCACAATCTGTGATAATCTTTTGTAAGTTTGAAAGAAAATGAAAAGAACACTCATTATATTTCCATCATAATAAAAACGATTTTATTTTCACACTTATTTTGTGTATTCATTTTAATTAATAGGAGTAAACAGTTCAAGACCTTAGAAATTCTATATTACAAAAAAATGCTATAGAGGTATAATTAATAAGATTTCAAATACTCACTTAGAATTAATTGATTCGATGATATCAGGCTAACAGGTTGAATTTTTACTTCCATTTCCTTTAGCTTGGAATTCAAATCCCTAGTGTGGATATACAGAAACAATGTCGTCGATATAGCCATAAGCGCTATGAGTTCGCTTGTTCTAAAAAGAAAATCCAAATAAAACATTTTTATAACTAGTGTATTATTATATTTCAAAAAAATGATAACAGGAAATACATTAAATCAATATAATTGTCAAAATGTGAGCAATTACTGATATTTCCCAATAACAATTACACGCCTTAACTGTGCAAATATTTTGGAAAGCGTTTGGTGAAATTAGATTACGAGAATAATATGTGGAAATGATTCTAAAAATATATAATTATTAATATATAAATTAATAATTTAATTCAATTAATGGTCAAAAGAAATAAATTTTGGATTTTATATAGGGTGGCCTAGAAACACCGCAAATGCTCGCCTGCTCAGAAATATATGATTAGTGCAAATGTGGTAAATTCTATGAGTTGAACTAAGAGATATTATTAAAATAACAGTGGCTAGAGTGGGAAAGAAAGTTGCAATCCTACAATATCACTCTTTCTTTTTCTTTCATATGACTAATGGAATAAATTGTCTGTTGCACAAAGCCTATATTACAAACAATTTTGCATCTACGTGTATATGCTTCCTGAATTTACACGAGATTTACAAAAAGGCAAAATCTGGTGATGAATTATTTGACAATTGACAAGTAATTAATCTCTTAATAAACTGACTTATTCTAGGGATATTTATAATTTAACTTGATTTGATATTATTTTATAAAAGCAGTAAATTTATTAATTCTACAGTTACTTAAGAAATGTGATTTAAACAAAATCAAAAATTTCACGTAACGTAACTGTGAAGTTTTTGTAGAAACACCCACCTCTAACACCACACATTTTTTCCTATCTATAATTAATATTTTCAAGAGGCATTAGAGTTGGACGATATAATAAATTAGTATAAGGGGTACGGGATTTATTTAACAATTTATCAATCTCTTTCATTAGAATCCTCTTCCTAATTAATTTGCACCTCCGAATACCCGGCTATGTTCGGACGTGGTTTTAATCCGAATTCGTTCTTATTATATACGAAGATATTAAATTATAGTGAAAGTGAAGAAACAGATCTAATCGTCGCATCCGAGACAATATGGGCAAAAATAGAGGAACGCTTTCATCAGATGACCACAGTAGATACATTAGTACTTTAAATAAAAACTACGCGATGTTATAATTATTTATCCTTTCTAAAATATTTCGATAATCGCTCGCAGAAAAGCAACTCGAGACACGAGAGAGAAATTTACAATTTACAATTACTATCAGGGGGAATCCCAATCGATCTTGCAATTAGACATTTCTTTCATTTAACAAATAAATAGCCCACTATGATATAACCCGTATGCAACGCGAACACGGTTTCATTAAATTCGCTCGATTAATAAAATGTGAAATCCTTTTTTGATTTACTGCACACCATCATCGAGAGCCATTAAACTCTGGGCGAAATCTACATTCGAACTCGTTCAAACGTCGCGTCGCCTTACTTCCTATAAATCAAACTGTTCTTAGATCGTACGAAGGCGTGAAAGAAATTATCGCTCGCAGTCTGGTTTCCGTTTTGCAGGATAATTGCTCGTCGGTGCGCCGCGAATTGGGGAAAACGTTAAAGATAACGTTCCGTTTCGAGGTGGTACGTAATGGAGTAGATTATTGCGCGCTCGGTGAATTACCTGATGGATTTCTTACCTAATTGTCAACGGAAGCGTAAACAGGGACGAGTAACACTGCAACAATGCAACTTTATTGTATTCGATAGATATTCAGTGTATAAAATGCAGATAATTGATACCACTTTTTTCTGTATATCTTATTGTTAAGTATTACTAGGACATATACTCGTTTATATCATTTCCCTCCTATATCTTATAGCAGTAGCATAGGATAATATAAAACATTTATTTCAATCACACATTTGCAATATATTATGTTTCATTATATCGAACGAAACAATAAAATCGTTCTAAACGTTTTCCTGCGATTGAAAGAATGCGTTCTGAAATTTTCTAAATCGGAAACGAAATTCCCATTCGAGGAATTGATATCGGGCGTATTTTTTCAATTAGCTTTCTCCGCGGACATGCATTTTCTTCGGCCGCTTTTACGAACTGAAACGATCTTATGAAATTGGCTTATTTCGATTTTTAACGGCGGAACAACAATGGACGTTTTGTGTACGGGCAATTTCACCGTTTCAATTGGAAAAATATGCTAAACAGCGATATATGTGCGTGTACTTTCGTGTGTTCGAAAGAAATTTTAAATTTACGAGTGAAGTAATTCGTTCTGACACGTGTATATGCGTAATAAAAATTTGTTAATACTCGAATATTTCGATTTTAATGAATAAATTTTATGTACCTATACTTGACGCGTTTGGAAGACGGAGTAATAAACACATTAATCAGCCGAAGTCCACCCGGGGTGTAAACGAGTCGCCGATATCACTCACTCCCCATTGGCCGGCCTAAAAGTTGATACTCTGTGAATGGTTTTGAGTAATTGTAGGCGATGTGCGAAATTTCTATCGATCGAATCGATCATTGTACAGGATTTTGCCGTACAGGGGTAGGGATATTTTGGAACCGCCTGACATTTTTATTACTCCGTCTTCCAAACGCGCCAAGTATAGTAACTATATTTTCAGAAGGATTAGAGTAGATATGCAAAAAATTAAATGTCATTTTTTCGAATTATTAGCATACAGGGTGTTAAAGATGAATTCTTGAAGAGGTATTTTTATTAAAAATTCCATTAATAGTAAATGGTTTTCATGGTTTATTTAAGTCTTTATCATATTTTGAGGTTCTCTACTTGCTCCCAAAGTTTGGCCACTTATTTCAGAATCACCCTGTATACAAGGCGACTGAAAGAATCATTACTTTAGCAAATAGTATTCGCTGAAATAACTCAAAAACTGGAATTTAAGAACATCTAAATAGCCACAATAATCATTTTATGGACGCCAATGGTAGATAATAATATGTTGTGAAATCAGAGCAGAGCTTAACGTTATTATTATATTATAATACCTTAAAGCAACGATATCTTTTTAATTTAAAAACGTAACCGTTACTCTTCTTCAATTTTCTTGCAATATACAAACACAGAGAAACTAATTTGCGGGCTGTTACGAATAAAACTGTTTATTTTTAGTTGTTGTTAACAATGATTTTTTTGTCGATTTGAATAAGGTAGCCGGTTTGCTTCAATAAGAACTGTAGGTACACTTGAACTACTTGATGGCATTGCAATTACCATGCAGCCGCAAAAATTTGTTAATTATATCAAATTTCTCTTTTTCGCGTATTTAAAGAATTTTTTAAATTAATTTATAACGGATATGAACACTATCGGTCCGTCGAGATCTCGCCAATTTGAAAAAATATTCACCGAAAGATGTTAATTTTGTATAAGTAGGCTAGAAGAAACCTAGTTGGGAATGTCGGGTCAAAATCCGAATAATAACAGATTTGATTTGAAAAAACGTCGTTTCACGACGAAAACCTTTGTTATTATAATTTTTGGTGTAGGTTTTGTTTTGATATTGCAATAATGCAAATTAATTCTTATAGGTTGGCCGGTTTCTGTCAATAAAAGTTTGACAGTGGACAGTTTAATTAGCAGTGAAAAGTTTTGTGATATTGACTCTATTATCTCACCATCTTTTCGAAGGAAATAACGTCGTTTCATCAAAAACCCAGTAGGAAATTTTCGTTTTTATTTACTTACATTGTGGAAAATTTACCATTTTATAAACTTTCGAATTCAAAATAAATATCCCTATACCGCCTACTGTGACCTAGAGAACCTAAATGCAAATCCTAATTGGCGATGACCGATGACATCTAGCTGTCAATATCGCATAATAAATAATTACGTGATACACCTGCTACCACGTTGCCTACCTCTGTGATTGGCAATAATCTGTTTAATTACTCAGAGTTAGGTAAATAGAAAATATTGAATGTATAACGTTATAATTAATCTATAACGTCCTCTTGGAATCAATTGCGTAAGCATAAACGAAAGTTTATTCTCCTATCGCCTCCATATTTTATTATTTGCCAATCGGTCAAACATACCGTGTACCGTGCAAAAGTTAATGGCTAAATTTTATTATCTTCTGCGTTGTCTGTTGCATTTCATAGTGGCACTCATACCTCATATACCGTTATTAAACATAAGAATCGACGTTTGCAGACTCCATAACGGAAATGCAGCCCAGATATGTATAATGTATAGTTAAGTGACGGGAGGAAATCGCAAATCGCACGAATGTCGGACTCACCGGTGCATTAATTCATTGTTTACGGATGGCCACCATGGTTAATTGATGTATGAAAGAAAATATGACATTGAACTAGCAACGAGATTTTTTCCACAAATTTGCACGCAATATGGTCCATGGATGCAACAAAGACAACTTCCATTAATCTCATGTGAAGGAAAAAGATAGAGCGATATTGTGGGATTGGAACTTTCTCACTCTAGCCACTCTTATTTTTATAATCTTTGTTCAACTCTTAGAATTAACCATATTGTGAGCAATTTAACACTTATGTGCATACGTTGCATTCGAATTATCCGAAATTTATAGCAGCGATAAAAACGCCATTAAGGAACGAGATTATGTATTTATTATTCGCCGAAAGTCGAAAGATTTTTGTAAAAATTTAGAACGCTTCTCAAAAACCGGACCCACGAAATCGATTATTAATATGTCCGCACGATTTTGCTACCTCTGCGTACACTCTCCGGCCATGAGGTGAGCTCTTTTCCGACGTTCATTAACGATCGAATGGAGATTATAAATAAAATTTATAATATGTATTTATCGAAATCTCGCTCGTTCGACCCACTAACTCGCATTTGCTGTTAGCATAATGAATAGTGGGAGTTTTTTTTTAATGATGCTTCGGTTTCGATGATGAGAATGAGGAAGTAAATGGCGCAGGTTACTGTCGAATTACCAAAGGATATATTAGCTATAGACATGTTTATGAAATTGTGGACGAGTACGTACTTATTATAGTGTACCTAATAAGTAAGTAAAACCAATAGAGCGGTAGGTAATTGAATTTTGTAATTTATGCTTATTAGGTTACACAAGTCTTATGTGGGACACTCTGTATATAGGAAATGTATGTAGGGAAGTGTATGTGGTAGTATATACATGTTTGCAACATGTAGGGAAATGTATATGAGAGAAATGTACAGAAAACATCATTTACGCAACATTCCAAAAGAGCTTTCAGTTTCTGAGATTCGTTGCGTGAGAATCTAGTTCTAATTAGACAAAATTAGGTACCTACTCATGTTATCTCTCTGTAACTGTAAACTTGATTTTTTTAATTTTATATATCTGATTTCGTGTGCCTAGATCGGATTAAACGCTGACACAGTTTCCGATATCACGAAAGGTTGGTCATTAATTCAATAATTCGATTAAATTTTATAATGAGATGGTGCAGAGTAGCCCTTTAGGCGTATTTATCCACCAACGCACCAAAAAAACTTTGTTAATTTAATATTTTAAATTTATTTACATTGACATTTGATTGATATGTTTATTTGACATTGACAGATTGAATAATTTCCGAGACTTTAATTATAGCCTATTAAAAATCTGGGTAAGTACTCGAATAAGAGTAATTGGCAAGAAAGTAAATTACCACCGAGACGGCGACGGCCAGAATTAATTAATAAAACATTAAAAACGACATTTTAAATGAAATGGTCGCATCCTAGATTTTAATAAACCACGCACTTTCTAAGGTAGCCGATTCCGCTTATATGCGGTGAAAAAGAGCAAGTGTATCACACTAATCCCATTCTAACGTAGAAAATCTTGCGAAGAGTTCAATGGCAAGACGGAAACCGATGCAACTTACAATTATTTAGTGAATGTAAACCCATTAACAGTTAGGAAAATTAATTTTCTCCGCGTAACCATCAATCGACTAGGAAGTGCCTGCTACAAATATTACAGATCAGCAGAAAAGATATTACATGGTGGATTACTTTCTTACTTACGAGTTTGCGGTGTGCGATCACAAGGAACTACATTAGTCGCGTATTATTATTACTGTACTACTGTATTAATTATTGTTATTATTGTTAAGGCGCATTACTAGGCTCGCATGCTAGATTAAAATTAGGATTTTTAGCGCTGTTATTTATCGATATTTTCAACGTTAATTAGATAATTATTATTGAAGTAATAGTAGCGTAAAGGTGCAAATGAGACATCGTTATTATTAACAAAGAAAGCGATGGCTACTTACAAGTAGGTAAAACTTCTCGCCTTCTAGATTTAACTTCCCCAATTAGATTTAAATTCGTAGTATAAATAATTAAAAAAATAAAAATAGGTATCCAAACAACCCCTTGCTTACTGGATTCATAAAAAAAGGAATGGTCAAATTGTGATCGAAAATAAAGGTAGCCGTGCATGTCAAAACTGTCAATAAGAAACGATCGACCATTTTTAAATCTCTCTTATCTGGTAAGTTCACTTATTTTATCCGGTAACATTTTTTTCTGAAAGTGTAGACATTTTCAGGACTAGTCTGAAAAGTGTTACAACGTTGTCATGATAATTGCTAATTATAGTGAAGATACCGAAACAATTGTTTTGTATACATGCATTTAGAGTACAGGCTGGCTAACTATTATTGAAGGAAAAAATAATTTATAATAGCCTAACTCAATTTGAAATTATGATTTTATTTATAAAAAACACCAGTAACTTTTTATAATCATCGAAGAAGACGTAATTAGTGCAATTAGATTAGTTTTAAAGGATATAAATGCATGTGATGACTTTAATAGGGGCGTTTATCAGTTCTGCAGTCGTACCAATTGATCCGAGAATCTAGTAATTTTTTGTACTACTTTTTCGTAATGTATACAGGGTGAGTCAAGATCCACGAACGGAGTATTGTAGGCAAACGGTAAGAGATTTTTAAAATTCCTTCGGGATAAAGGTGGCTATAATTTAAAAATAATTAAACATATACAGGCCATACCACCTTTGAGAAAAAAAATAATTGTTATGAAAATGTAAATGGGACACCCTATATTTCATTACATTTTTTTAAATCAAGCCATACTTTTTGTTATTAATTTTTTTATAAAAACTATAAGATCCTTTAGATAATTTTTCTAAAAAAAATCTCACCTTTTCGGCATCAACAACCTCCTCCCCCTGTGGTAAAGCTGATCCATTTCCTTAATCATCGGCGGTGGTTTTTTTCTTTTTTCTTCAACAAAAGCGCACTTTCCAGTCCGCAGAGCACCGACTCGCGCGATCGTATTCAGCGCATAACCGACCGTTCTTGCGTTCTTGCACTTTGTAGAGCGCACGAAGAACTGACGGATCGCATATCAGAGGAGCACCTATTAGTACTATTTTGCCATTGTGCGCTCCGGGCATCTTCGATACGTTTGAAAGCACAGCGGGATTTTGTTATACTTAAAACGCGATTATTCTACTCGAGATTTTTAGTCAACCGGCTACTTTCAACGGGCTGAAGACGACCTAACGAGAACGATCTGCTAATAAAATTGAAGTAGAAAGGCGACAGAATAGCAACTTAATTGTAACATCTGCTATACAGGGTGTTAATTAATTGGGTGCCGATACTTCAGGATGTGAATTTTTGGATGATTTTAAGAAGAAAACATACTTTTTAATTATTAAGGAGTATTTTTTGAGGCAAATGATTTTTTTTTATTTTTACCAGTGACGTCTGTTCGCGGTTTAAACTGAATATATTTGAAGAAAAAATTGTACGCCACTGCTTTTTCTAAAAACCAAAATTATTTTTAAAATCCTCATTTATTTTGGAGCAAATTCGGTCCGAAGACTTACTTTCGTACGACGTTTTCGGGCTTAAAAAAATTAATAAATTATTCAAAAGTTTTATTACACATTTTTCCAACATAACATAAACTGTAAATTAGGTAAGGGTTTCTTTTCTAATACATCTGTAATGACGGTAATGTTAAAGTATACGTGCAACGGTGAATATAATATAGGTGCAGTAGGATAAAATAATTTCGAAGTAACGTATTCAAAAGAAATTTAATCGTACAAGTGAAAAGCCAATGTTCGATTCGAAGGTACATCAATATCGAAGCGAAGTAAGGTTACATTTTTTTTTCTTCCGAGTATCAAAATTTTTCGAGATTTCGAAGCTAATAAAAAAGCTATATAAAATGCGTTCTTATACTTAGCTACATTTTGAGCGGTTTTTTAAAACGGTTAACGGGTGTTTCGATTTATGTGAAATGTTCCTCTTTTCAACTATCTACAAAGGGCTTAAATACGCGCTTTTTAATGCCAATACTATAAAAATTTGTAAAAAAACTCATTTTATTTCGAACCAAATTGTTAAATTAAATTTTAAACATAGGTTTTATTAAAAAATGTAATAATAAACCGACGTATTACTATGTACACAATTCCACCTATAAAGGAAACGCAACGTTTCCTGCAGTATACATTAAATTTGACAATAAAATAAGTATCGATTAACGGTTTGTTTGGGACATTATTAAATACTTGTGCCAAGCACATGACATCAATACTTCATATAAATAAACAGTATATTGCCATCAGGACTTTATGCACAATTCGTATGTCACATTTTACAGTTCTATAAAATTGAATTTAGTCCTCTACATTTAATAATCATCTAAATCAAATTCGTCCCCATTTTCCATCTCGTCTAGTTGCAAACTTTGGAAGTCTACCTTATACCGTAGTAAACCTGTAACACAAATTATTCACCAATCAGTAAAAGAACTACCTAATTAAATGCAAGAACTAATTAAATAACGATTTTTATAAATTTCAGGGTGATTAATTAGCGAAGAAAACTGCTATACATACTTTTACTAAACTCTCCTTAATGTGGATGATAAACTTATACTCCACTAATTAATCAATATTTGTAAATAATTTCTACTGGGAAATAACTGAAATAATAAAGGCGTTTTGTCTGCTTTATCGCATTTTGCTAGTGAAAAATCAAGAAAAACTTGATGTCAAAAAAGAATAATCAAACCATTTCGGATGTGTTATTAGAATATCCTTAAATTTAGAAACACTAGGTATAGAAGACAAATCTGCCAATAAAGGAAAAGAACTTGGCAAAAATAAAATAAAAATAACTAGAAAGAATATACCAAACTACCACACAAGAAAATTTAAAAATCTTTCGCTCGAAAGACTACCTGGTGTCGTTACAACGTAGACAAGTGACGAGATAAATAATTAATAATCATCAAGGTCTACATCATCCAATGGTTCATCGGCTTGCAGCGACTGAAAATCCACTTTGTATCGAAGAATACCTGATTAAATCCAGGCAGCATTACAAAAAAATACCTAACGTTAGAATCACACTTCGTAAACAGGCTATTAACAGTCAGTAGATAATACAAATTTAAATAATATTTAACAAACATTACCTCCGATTCCACCAAACCCTCGAACAAATTGAGAACCTTCTTGCGATTTGTCCGTAATTATTTCTAACGTAGCACCAAAATTCTTGTAATTGTTCGCCAGCCACTCCAACAGTGGCTGACACTCCACCAATTCCAGTTCAACGCCAGTCTACGAAAACAAACATTCAAAATATTTAGACGCTACAAGCGGGAACAATAGTACCTCTTTGTCTGTAAAATGAGATTTATCCTTTTCTTGTTCAGGAGTTAAATGTAGTATGGTCTCGGAGCCGGTAGTGTGATTCTTCAACACGTATCTTTGTATGTCCAAATTCTCCCAACAAATCAACGTCTCGACAGCCCCGAGTTCGAGCCCTCTGAGCGTATCTTCCACGCCGAAACAATACTTTCCCGTATCTTGACTAATTTCATCGAAATATCTTCCAATTAGTTTCTTCTCCTGAATGAATTTGACGTTTTGTAACGACTCAGCTGCCAATTCGATGGCTTGATTGAAGCCGTTCTCACCGCCGTACGAGACGTCTACTAATTTTATTACTTTAGCTTGCAATCTCTGGAAAAAATATACGTTTCGTCAAGTAGGTTCGGTAAATGTCAATATGACAAGTATGACAATGTACATACCGGATCGAACATATCGGATTGGCTAAGTTCAGTCTTAAAATCAGCACTACCCGCCAATATTAGGCCAGCTATATTAGGTTTGTCATTGGTAATGAACAATTGGGTGGCCACTTCGGCTACTTTCCTGACGTAATTGTGCCTTTTTTCCATACGGAGACGCGCAAAACGTAGGGCAGACTGACCTCCTCTTCCGTGCTTCTTCGGCAAGTCTACAGTAAACTTGTGCAGTACCTAAAAATTAAAAAAAAAATCTTTATGCAAGTCTAGCATTATTGAAGTATCATGTTCAACTTTCTTATTAGTTTCGAACAAACATATCAAATACTTTTCTTCTCTTTTTCAAAAAAGGTATGGTGTATATCAATTTATTTATATTACCAGTTATAAATATTCATTAAAAACTCCAAGGTTAATAAACATTTCAAAAATTAAAGTAGAGATAAAAATGTTAAAGAAAGTAAATTACTGTAGGTACTCGAGAAAAACACCATATGTTGAGGAAATATCCCGTTAATTAACCCAACTAATCGATTAGTCATAAGCCCAGAACAATAGGCTTTTAGTCTTTAGGCGTATGACTAAATTATTCTATTGTTCTTCTAACTAAAAGTCTATTGTTCTTCTAAAAGATGCCTTGGAGGAAAGTACCAAGGTATCTTTTAGGAATAGGTGTAATATTACCTCTCTGGTATTCCCTTGAAGAGTACCGAATAGGGCACCGTTACCATCCATGACGATGAAACCGAACTTATTGTCGTCGGCTAGAAGGGCAGTCAAAGCTTCAGTGTGGAATTTGTTATCGCACAAGTATAATGAGGTATTGATCGGTTTAAAGGGCTCGAAATCTATGTTAACTTTCTTCTCCTTGCCTTCATCGGTAACGATGGTTCCGCAGTATATGACCAAACCATTGGGCGGTACTGGAACGGAAAATTTTGACAATTTTTTTGATTATTATTCGTTGTAAAAACTGGCTTACCTTTCGTGTATAATTTCAAGCGGTGCTGGACCGAAGTGATAGCACCGAGTACCGAAAGTCTGTTTACTCGAGACTTAATATTAGAGGCTGTTCCAAATTCATCGGCCAACATTTTGCTTACCCTAGATATTTGATCTTTCGGAGGGATGATGAGAGATATCATGCTCGTTCCGTTCCTGCCGAAAAAAACATCGATTTTCATTTTTATTCCGCAATATGCTCGATCGGTTCGCTTACCCTCGGGCTAACTCCAGGCTTTTGATCAGTTTTTTTATTTTCCATATTTCCACGTTTCTATCGGCGGAGGTTTCTTCACCAGACATTTTTAAAAATTAGAAATTACTGATTAAAAAAATCGAAAAACGTGTACGTAAAGCAAAATGGCGCGGTGTCAGTCTCGGAGCTAATCAACAAGAGATCCAATCCAGGCAGGAAAGTTTCACCGATTACTAAACCAAACTCAACAGAACTGGTTTAAACTAGATTTTTCAGGACGAATCGGGTGGCCGAAGGAAAGGTGTGATATTTCGTGGAAATATTGTAAATGCAATTTCGAATTATACTTGTGTGAATTAAATAAAAATTAAAAGAGAATTTTATATTCGATTTTTAAAATTCAATTTTTAGTTTCCAAATCACGGAACATGAAGAAGTAGGCAACCCGACAACAAATTCGAACAAACGAACGCACCTAATAAAAAAATGAGAATTTGATAATTTGAACATGAAATTCTTCAAAATAAGCCCAATTTTTTAATAGTTCCTACAAATACAAACAATTTAAGAAAACTGAGGCGAAATATTCTTTTAGCTCTTCTTTTAAGAGTTCAAAATTATTAATCATTCTTGAGTTGGTATTATTGTCAAAACGACATAAGTCAACTGTCACACCATGACGTACCTCTTGTCATACTTGTCTTAGTCATCTGTCTAATGTCTACCGGCGTTGTTTTATTGTTTAGTTTCACATCTTGCATTTTTATTAATTAATTAATTAATTTCTAAGCCATTAAACGTTATTTAATTGTCTAGTTTATCCCAATTCAACTTGTTAAAACTTATTTCTAAGAACCAAAAATGGTCGTCACTCAAATCACCAAAGAAACCATTGGAAATTCTAAAGTGCTGGTAGTCGGAGCAGGAGGAATTGGTTGTGAAGTTCTGAAGAATTTAGCTCTCTCTGGCTTTAAAGACATAGAAATTGTACGTAACTTAATCATTTTCAACACATTTATTTTCATTTTGTCTTTTAGATCGATTTGGATACGATAGATGTAAGTAACCTCAACAGGCAGTTTTTATTCCGCAAAGAGCACGTCGGAAAGCCCAAAGCAGTTGTAGCTCGTGAAAGTATCCTAAATTATAATCCAGATATTCAGATTAAAGCTTATCATGACAGTATTACAAGGTAATTCACAACAGATCATTTCTTTTCTATTATAAAAACTTTTTACTTTTTGTAGCCAAGATTATGGTTTAAACTTTTTTAAAAAGTTCAATATCGTGTTAAACGCTCTCGATAACAGAGCAGCAAGAAACCACGTTAATAGAATGTGTCTGGCTGCTGATGTACCGTTAATTGAATCCGGCACGTCTGGCTATTCCGGTCAAGTCGAACTGATCAAAAAAGGAGTAACTCAATGCTATGAATGCCAGCCTAAACCACCCCAAAGGACTTTTCCTGGTTGTACCATAAGAAATACACCTTCCGAGCCTGTGCATTGCATAGTATGGGCAAAACATTTATTTAAGTAAGTTTGTTAGTTCTTCGTAGAATAAATTCGTTTACGAGAGACTGTTTTCAGTCAGTTATTCGGAGAGGAAGATCCCGATCAAGATGTATCCCCGGACACCGAAGATCCCGAAGCTAAGGTCGAAGGTCAAGCGCACAGTGCTACCAACGCAGGGAATATCCAAAGAACATCTACACGTCGATGGGTGCAAGATATAAAATATAATCCTTCGCAACTGTTTAATAAGTTCTTCAAAGAAGATATCGAATACCTATTAAAAATGGGTAGGTTTAAATAATTTAAGTTTTTCATTTTATAACGAGTTAATTGTAGAAAATTTATGGAAGACTCGCAAACCTCCAGTTCCCCTGTCTTGGGAACAGGCCGCATCCCACGAAGGAGACTCAGTCGAAGAGGAAAACAACGTAAGAATGCAGGACATGAAAGTTTGGCCGTTGAGCAAATGCGCAAAAGTCTTCGCTAGTACCATCGATGTGTTGAAGAACGAAGTCTCTGAAGATAAATTTTTAGTTTGGGATAAAGACGACAAGCCGGCCATGGATTTCGTTACGGCTTGCGCCAATATCAGAGCTCACATTTTCTCCATAGCCACTAAATCTAGATTTGAGATTAAATGTAGGTACATCATGAGGCATAATGATTATTTTTTACTCAATTTCTTTGGAATTTTTTAGCTATTGCTGGCAATATTATACCGGCTATCGCCACTGCCAATGCAATGATCGCGGGTCTGGTAGTTCTGCACGCCTTCAGGGTGCTGCTGCAAGAATTCGAAAAGTGCCCGTCGATTTACCTGAGGCAAAAGTCGGTGCATTCGAAATTTATACTCGCGGCCGATAAGCAGATAACTGCAGCCAATCCGAAGTGTTACGTGTGCAGTCCGAAACCGTTCGTAAATGTCTTTGTCAACACTAACTCGATGACCGTGAAGGAATTCGAAACGGAAGTATTGAAAAAGGGCCTAAACATGATCGCTCCGGATGTTGTATTAGGCAAGTTTTCGTTACTGTTGCAAATAAAAAGGACTAATTAAACGTTAAATTACTGTAGATGGTAGAGGAATGGTGGTGATATCATCGGAAGAAGGCGAGACGGAAATCAACAACGACAAGAAACTGGCGGAAATCGGAATCGTCGAAGGCAGTATATTGAAATGCGACGATTTCCTTCAAAACTACGAGCTGAGCGTGGCCGTCAATCAGTACGAAGCTAAAGAAAAAGACGATCCGCTCTACAAGATCGTCGCGAACCCCGACGATTTGAAGGCCAAAGAAAGCGTCAATGGCGGCGAGAAGAACGGCAACGAAGAAGAGAAGCAAGCGGAGAGCGATCAAGATGATCTCATGGTCGTCGAGGAGTCCGACGATCCCCAAGAGGGTTCCTCGAAGAGAAGAAAATTGAATCCTATCGAAGATAACGACGATGATCTGTGTATAATTGATTCCTAATAAGAACAAAATGTTTGTACGATATTTAATTCATTTCGATGTTCATACAATTTTTTCCATATATTTTTTATTCATAAGGAAATAAATGTTTCTACTAGTATCAGAGATGTGTACGCATATAAGCTAACATTAATCCCTTCTTTATTTTTAACTATGCACTATTGTAATGGTATTACAGTAACGTATACTATATTTCCCTATTGATCTATCGGCCTCGTAATGTTCATGACGTACTGCTGATTGTCCTTTCTTCCTCTTAAACCGTAGATGAAAGCCGAAACCGTCGGCACGTTCGTGTATTTCTCCAAGCGCGTTTGCGTAGTCGCGTCTTTCCATACTATCGTTTGAATTCTAATCGGCGCGTAGCTGTGCGATTTTATCGTTTGCGTACTGGTCGTTTTGCATATTAACTGGGAAGCCTGAAAATTTCGTTAGCATAAGAATGTTATTTAATCTCTCAAATGAACCCTATACGTTATTTCATAGGGAAATTCCCTACTTACAGTTTTCAAAGCGTTCCTTTTAATATCCCAAACGTTCCAGGATATCGACCTGTCTTTGTAAGGAGGTATAACGTAGCCCTCATCCGTTTGCACATCTATGTTTCTAACGTGTATTATTTTTGATTCGTCTACGATTAATCTAAAAACGATAAGCCACCATCAAGATTACGTATAGTTTTTTCAAAGTCAATTGAATACAGAATATAAGAACTTCCTATCCTGCATTTAATTTGCATTTCCAAACCATAATGAACCGGCTTTAGAAACGCTACACCCGCATATTTGTTTATACTAACGTTTTGACGTCGACTACGGCTTGCAGTTGTTCCTTCAGCTGCAAGAAATCGATCAGCTGCGTCTTGATTCTGGCCAGATGCAGCACCCGCCTCAAATGGTCGTCGGGATCTTCGCAGAACTCCTTGCCGGCCTCGTACGACGAGAACACGTAGTACTTGCCCTTGTACTTGGCGACGCCAATGTACGGATTGCCGTGCACCAGCACCCCCTCGGTCTTCACCAATCGCCAGCAACAGAAGCCCAAGTACTCGAATTCGATTTTGTCGAAATCGTCGAAGTCGTCGGGCAGAAGGATCTCTACGTGCGGATTGTTCGAATCGAAAACGAGATCGAGGTTTTCCTTGTACGGCTCGAACTCCTCGGGGTCTTTTTCCTGTTCCTCCATTATGAAGGAGTTGAACTTTATCGTTTTGATGTAGACTTTTACGTTCACCAGGAACGTGCAGTACTTCCCAAGCTTCAGGATTTGGTTTTGGAGACTCGTCCAGTATTCGGCCAGTTGCTCGAACAACGGCTGATTGCGTAAAATGAATCAGAAAAGTTCTTTTTGAAACGTATTAAAGACTTACGAAAATTATGTAAACAGGTACTGCTAGCCGCTCGGCGACGATATCCTGGATTTTCTTCGATAGTGCGGCGGTGTCGTTCATTATCTCGTCTACAGTTTCGTTTAACGAGTCTAGGATCAGCATCGCTTTTCTAAAATCCACAAGTGTACCCAACGAACGCTAAACAAGTACATCCTTACGTCATCAACAATTGGTACTGCCTGAAGTGAATCAATTCGTCCTTGATCATATCCAGGCTATCCGTAATTTCCACCGTCGGGACGAATTGGTACGCGTAGGCTGCGTCATGCTCGGATTTTCGCTTCAAAATCAGGCATTTCGAGACCACCGTCATTCGCTTGTTAATGTTGTCCTGGATCGAAGATAACGTGATTTGGATGTCCGTTTTGGCGGTACCCCAAGCACTCTTAAACAACTCGCTAACTGCAATAATGCACTGTTGTCAATACAATGCGAGAAGGATAACTGTAGACGTGTAAACGAATTTACAAGTCCTCAGCTATTGCCGACGGTCTGTAGGTTTACTTACGATTCGGTATTTCGGCTCCTCCTTTGTTTGAATACTTATTAAACAGTCTTATTCCGGTTATTATTCCCGTGATTTCGGTTAAGTGTTCCTTTTTCGCGGGTTTCGGAAGGAAACTGAAGTCTCTTAGTTCTTTGTTGTTCATAATGCTGCCCAGCGCCGCTTCGGTTTCGGAATAAACCTTGAACAAATCGCTAAGTAAACGAATTCGTTTCGATTTAAGGAACTCACCGTCGGTTGCTGGGGACTCCCCATGCCGCATTTGAAGGCGCAGTATATCACGATAACTTTCCGCAGCTTGACGATTCTCTCGGCGCTGTCGGTGTTAGATACCAAAATTTTCGCCTCTAGGGGTTTCAGGCGATTGTCCAAGGTCTGTCTGTTGTTGTGGACTATTTGGTCGATGTTCTGGCTGGTCCATATGTAGTAGAATTGCATCTTCAGCGTCATTATCCTGACCAAATCTTTCGCTTCCAGTTCGGAAATCACGTGCTTGACCAATTTTTGGACGTTCGCCCTGGAGTTGAGCATGTTTTCGGATATGTTCCAGTTCGGGTCGAGCATCAGCAATCTCAACTAGGTGTTGTTCAGATAAATTGCACTTTAATATGTAAAGATTCATAACTTACCATGTAAAGGACGAATTCTAAATTGGGGTTTATATTTCTCGGCTGGCATTCTCTCAGGATTTCTTTGGCTATGTTTTTTTCGATGCGACTGGGCATTTTCCGCTGTCTTGTAATTCGCTCGTTTGATCGATATTTTAATGCGTATAACTCGCTAAAATAAATATATTTTAGTAAATGGATAAAATTAAAAAAATGTGCGCAACATTTGACGTATAAAAAAAGTAATTAGAATCTGACGGTGTTTGAGCGAACATTAAGGCATATTAAGCCATATATACAGGGTGATTCAAGATCTAACGGGCTCTAACTATCCGCGCGATTTATTTTTATAAATTATTCTACCTCGACTTGTCTCAAAATTTTCAGTCAATTAATGACTGTAGATTTATTATAGTCAATATTATACTATACTTTATTTATTATACTTGGACGCATTTTAATTCTAATACGTAAAAAGAGGGTAGATCAATTTGAAATAATAAAACACTTTTATTAAAAAATAATATATTCTTATTATAAATATGTATATTGGATAATATTTTCAATAAAACATGAACTATATTAATTGAAGTAAAATTGAAAATTGTCTCAATATTTTCATGACACTTAATCCTAATTTAAATCCATATCTTCTTCATTAGAAGCATTCATAGAAGCCTCTATGCTAGATTCTCCATTTGTCTCCCTTCCCGTTATATTTCCTCCATTTATCTTACTTCCCGTGATGTTTTCCCCATTAGTCTCCCTTCCCGTGATATTATCTCCATTCATCTCACTCCCCGTAACATTTTCCCCATTAGCCTCCCCATTTTTATCATTTTCCCCGCCATCACCGTTCCTCTCCCTACTTTCCCCATAAACCCTATGATCCAGCGTCACCGATTTCGTACAATTGTACGTTTTATAGATACCGATGAGATTATCGGCGTTTTCGAACATCTCCGATCGCAGAGATATTATGATGAATTGCGCGTTGTTCGTGCGCTCCTTGATGTAATTCGCGATGATCGAGACGTTCTTGAAGTCCAAAGCCGCGTCGATTTCGTCCATTACGTAGAACGGGGACGGTTTGTAATAGTGCAAAGCGAAGACGAGGGCCAGGGACGTTAAAGTTTTCTCGCCGCCCGATAGATTCGATATGTGTTTCCAGCACTTCTTCGGCGGCCTCACACTGTAAAATATACATAATTAGTTAAGACAATTTTACATAAAGGGTTTTTACACAACAGAGAATAATTGAGTTATTGATATAATTTCAATTAGATGGATATAATTTCAATTTCCATTAGAATACTGCTAATGTAGCCTCGCAAATAACACCAGTATCCTCTAAACCCGTATAAAAACGATACCTTAGCTGTATTCCTTCGTGAAACGGATCGTAATTATCGATCAATTCGAAATCGGCGTCTCCACCTAGGGTAATCATTTGGTACATTTCCTTCAGTTTCATCCTGATGATGTTGAATCCCTTCATGAATTCGTCCTTTCGCCTCGATTTCAGATCGTCGAAAACCTTGCAGATTTTCAGCCTTCTCTCGTTGAGTTCGTCCAAATCGTTGGTACGTTCGACCAACACTTGCCGCTTGTTGTTGTACTCCTGCGATAGAAATTGTTCGATGAATTTGAAACGCGGGAATTTACAAACGATTTATGTACTTCGATTATGCTGAGATTGGGTTTGGCGACTTTCAGGACGTTCTCGGCGTTCTCCAGGTCTTTCTGATACTTGCCGGCGTTTTCCTCTTCCAGTTCGCTCTCCGTGTACTCTTTAAGCTCGACCGGACTCTCCTCGGGGATGTTTTGTAGTTTCAGTTGAGATAACTGTAATATAATCGTAGTTATAGTAGAGTTACACTACCCTAACAACAGGTATTAATCACCTTAGCTTTTAATTGATGAATGGCGCCTTGAAACTCGTTTACCTTGGCCCTGATCGTCTTGTACTTGTGATCGATATCGATTTTTTCGGATTTCAGTTCGTTTTCTTTGGCGGTCAACTCGGCGACGGATTCTTTTATATCTAAAATATATCACACAGATTGATAATTGCGGTTTAATTGAACCCGAGTGTTAATACCGGCGTAAGATTCCTCGTCTCCCTTCAGTTGCTCGGTGATTTCTTCGATGCATTTCAACAATTTAGCGGCATCTTCTTCGATTTCGGTTCTCTCATCGCGCATTTGCTTCAGGCTCTCTTCCATCTCTGACACTTTCTGTTCCATGTTGGCTATTTGTTGCTCGCAGTTCTTCAAATCCCTACGATAATAAGTGCAGTTATAAGTAGAATGTTCCTTTTTAACGCTAATCAATCGCTTAAAGAGTGTCTTTATCGTTAACAATGCACAACGGTCAAATTAAAGAGGCTCTTTAAACGATTGATTAATGTTAGAAAAGAGCGCTGAATAGGGGCCAGTGTATGAGTTAAAATGGATAAATAACTGTAATTATGGGATTTCTGTATGTACCTTTTGGATGTTGTAACGGAGTTCCGCAGTCTGGTAATTTCCTGGGTACATTTATTAATGGTGACAGTGGCCGCTTTGATTTTTTTATCGATAGGACCGACTTTTTTGGCGTTCTTTTCGTTCATTTCGTTCGTAATCGCGTCGATTTGCTGTTGAAACGCGTCGACTTTTTCAGCCATTTCATCGTAAACTTCTTTTTTCTCTGCGATAGTTTTCGTTAACTTTTCCACTTGCACGGGATCCGCCTTGGTGGAGTTGGTTTTCTGTCTTTGGTGGACGAGCTGCTTCTCCAATCGAGGTTTGCGCAGCTTCAAATCCTAACAAAAAGACGTTTTTTTTCGATATATCTTACTATAAAACTATAAATTACCTTGATTTCCGATGTATACGAATCGTAATCGAGTTTCATTTGCTCCAATTCCGGCTGCAGGGCTTTGATTTGATTGGACAAATCGGCCTGCCTTTGCCTGGTTTCTCTGACCATTCCTTCGGTCTTAACGAGCTCTTGTTCCAAATTATTTATTTCCACCGGGTCTACGTTTGCTACTTTAACCGATTGCCCCATTCGACCTCTGCTAACCGTTTTACCGCCACCACTCATCGTTCCTAAAGAAAATTGTTAGAGAGTCTTCGAGTATTACGTATACAAATATACCTGACAACTCTATAAGTTCTCCTTTAAGAGTTACCACTCGATATCTCTGAGCCCCATAAGCGATTCTGGAGCCTTGATCTATATCACCGGCTACCAGGGTGTCTCTAAGAGCATAGTAAAAGGCCGTTTTAACTTTTTCATCTTGTACTTTGACGAGATCGAACAAACGGGGGACGCCTTCGGGCCTAAAAACGACCGTTAACTTAAATATTAATTTTCTTTTGTTAACTACAAAGACCTACGTTGTAATTTTAGTCAATGTTTTTTCTCTGAGATGCTCTTGTCTGTCTAGTGGTATGAAATTAGCTCTACCGATGTTGTGGGTTTTTAGAAATTGTATTGCAGCTTCAGCTGTTTGTACAACATCTACAACTATATCGTCTAAGGGGCCGCAAGCAGTGGATATGGCAACGTCGTATTTTTGATCGATACCTCCCAAATCACCCTGAAAAAAACCAATTATATTATTAGCTGAAATTCGGGCAATCTTGTATTTAAAAAACTAGAACAAAAACTTACCAATCGTCCATATAGTCCGGGTAAATTGCCCTTTTTCTTCTCGTTCATAAGGCTATCTAAGACTCGATTTCTCGACGCGGACGCTTGCATTAAGCTCCTTTTTTCCTCCAAGTTCTTCTTGTTTTTAGAAAAGGTATGCATGGCGGTTTCTTCTTTTTTCTTGAAGCCGTTCAACTCGTTCAAAGCGTCGTTCAGGGATCTCTCCGTCGGTTGTAATTTCTTGCTTAAAATATCGAATAGCTTCGTTTTTTCTTCTAAATTCGCCTTTACACTTTCGTATTCCGACGTTAGCTCTTCGAGTTTCTTCTTTTCACTTTCGGCGCTGCTCGTGAACAATTTCAACTCGGATTCTGCTATGTTGTACTGAAAATAATCGATGCAAAAGATTGTACTGATTAGTGGTTGAAGCTTACTGCAGATTTTGCTTCCTCAGCGGTTTTCTTCAATCCGATTAATTCGTTCTGCAATGCACCTCTCTTCTCTTGTAAACCTTTTGTTTCTTCTATTACGGCAGCTGTTGCGACTCGTTTTTCTTCTTCGTATTTCACTTTATTAGCTGTTTCTTGTTCGAGTTTATCTTGGCACTCTTTGATATCCTAATCGATACAATAAATTATGTAGAGTGATGTAGTAGTTATGAGTTATGAAAAATAGTAAAATACTGTACCTCATCTGCTTTTTGGGGAGCATTTTGCAGTTTTTCCAGCCTCTTATTTTCGTTGATTATTTGTTGTTTGATCTTCTTGCGATTTGCGTTTGTAGATACCATCTTTTCTTGCAGTTTCAAGTCTCTGTTATTGGCTGTATTGAAAGCTTCTGTTATGCCTTCCTTGCGTTTTTGTAAAAGTTCGTATGTCCTTAAATAAAAAATGATTATCAGCAGTAAAAAATAAGGGATTCTGACTGTATTTCGGATTAGGAAGTTTATGATAAATACATAAGCATCTTACGCTGATTTTTGTTTAAGAATTGCATTTTTCTCTTCTTTTTGGCCAGTAATATTTTTGAGCTTCTCGTCGATATTCCTCAATTCTTCTTCAACCCCTTCTTTTTCTTTGCTGATATCTTCGAATTTATTTTCAATATTGTATCTAAAACCATAAAATTTCTTACAATCAAAGAACAATACAGTCAATAGGAACACATACATCTCCTTTTGATAGAGAAAATTTTTACTTTGAACAACTGTATTTTCGGTTTTCAAAAATGCCACCGCTTCTTTCATAGGTTCCTCTAATTGAACTAATTCGTTCTTCAGCAAATTTATCCTGTTCATTTTCTCGCTTTTAATCGATGTTATGTACTCTATTCGTTCGTTAACCAACTGCAGGGGTTTTTTATAACCAGTCGTTCCAATGATATCTTCTAAATATTCCAACATCCCGACTTCGTTTTCATTTTGGGCCTTGCAATTCATCATGGCTATTTGCTCTACTTCACCCTAAAGTCATTAAACCGAATAATATTGTAATCAAGTACGTAAATTTTAATGTCATTACTTGTAGAATGAGAAACCTATCGTAAACTAAATCGATTCCGTATTTTTTCAAGACTTTAGCGACTTCTTTAAACTGTACTCGTCTGCCGTCTAACGTGTAATAGGAAGATCCATCTTTGTTGGCTGTACGACACACTACAAATTCGCTGTTTTCTACTACATCATATTCGTCCCTGCCCTGAAATCGTTCGGATTATTACGGAGAATTTGTTTCAAATTTCAATTTACCTTATCCACGATTAAAGCGAAATGTACAGCAACGTAACAAGACTGGATATTTCTGTATTTATCGGAATTATGCAGGAGCGTGGAGACTTTCTTACTCCTCATCCTTGTGGATCTGTAGCCGAAAACAAACAGCATGGAGTCGATTACGTTACTTTTGCCACTACCATTGGGGCCTATTATGGAATTGAAACACTGTAAGAGGATAGTTATTGTATCAATAAAAAAAAGGGGTCAGATATTTTATCACTAGGGATCTTTAACTGACCTTATGGAATGGGCCCAATACTTGATCGTCTGCGTAACTTTTGAAAAAATTGTTGTGGATTTTAGTGATCATTAAGCGGGGCCCGTCAGGATCAAATGTTAACGAAGGTTTTGTAGGCGGTGGAATGCGGATACCTTCGATAATTTGGTAATCATCATCGTCTGAAAAAGCCTGCTCTTCGTCCTCATCGTCGCTCAATTTGCGTTTATCGCCTTGACCAGGCATTTTTAATCAAAAATTCTAACAAAAAGTCGTTAGCTTTTTGCACATAATTTAAACGACTGTTTGACAAATGACAATCTACAAGCCGCATCAATTCAGCCATTACCAACACTAAAATTACTCACTATCGCCAACACAAAATTTAATTTCCCTAGAGATTCAGCCAATACGCGACCAGAATTCTTTCACGGAACGGCGTTATCACCAGTAATAACGACTAGATGTCAGGTCGAACGCACTTTTCGTAGGTGACCAGTAATACATCAACAAAAACTACATTGAACTGAGACAAGAGACACAAGCGATAAAGCGAGACTTCGACTCTCTGACGGCCGAGGCAGAGGCAAACAAATACAAAAATAAAAACGGTCGAAGAGTGAAGAACGGGTCGAAAAAGTTTCGATGTTTACGGGCAAGGCATTCGTCTAGTTGTTCCTCGGCGCTTTTTCATTTAGTCGATACATGATTAGTTTAGCATGGATTGTTTAATTTGTGACAATGAGAACGGACTTGGTGATTTTTCTGTGTGTGGTATTGTGTGTGCACAGTGTACACAACGAGGATGTAGGACCACGGATTTCTTTATTAGGTGAGTGTGCTGTGGCGGATGCAATTTCTACTCGAAAATGATTGGGAATTTTTACATTCGTATGAGATTGGAGGTTATAATAGTCTCCAGATTGTTATTTATAAAATTTAGAGTAAAATCATCAACAAAAGATTAAATGTCTTGGTCTTGGTGTTACAACCATACGTAAGTATAAAAACAATGGATTTTCTAAACGTGTAAGGATTACAGGAGTCATTTCATAGGCTTCTAGTTATTAAGGATAATAATGATGTTTAGTTTTTTAGAATACATACAATAATTTTTCATGTAATACTTACAAAAATCAATTCCCACTATTAAAAACGATAATTTTATCTTCTTAGAAATTTTATTGGTAATGTTTGTGACTCACAATTCAGATGCCAAGTTTTAAATTAAAATTTAAAAATGAATTAATATGAATAATATAATAATATTTCATAATATGAATTAGTTGTTCAATTGTTAATTAATTTTTATGTCAAATGACCTAGATTTTGAACCGATATCAAATTATTTCTGTTTATTTTTTCGCTTAATTAACTTATTTACATTTTACACTTACTGCAAAAGACTTTAAAAGTAGTTTGATACATCGAACGGACATTTAATTAATAGTTAAATTCTATTTTATGATGATTTAATTAATAGTTAAAATTATACAATTTCAGTAGGCATTTGAATTCGAATCGAATATTTGTCAATTTAATTTTTGACATTGACATTCATGGCTAACTAGTTATTTGAAATATTTTAAAGATTCGTATAGTGTAAAAGAGAAAGAGGCCCGTATGCCTGTTTCTCTAAACATTTTAAAGCAAATTAGAACGTAAAATATAACTTTAATTTAAGTTTTCTGCAGACTTTCTTTAACTTATTCATAACTTTTCCCTATAAACTGCTCTTTTGGCACATTAACATTCCACTAATTAATTTAACGGGGAAAGTAACAAATCTCTACAGATAATATTTTTCTAATAAATTAATTTATAATTCGAATACGTATTATTATTCAACAATTTTTATTCGAACGTGATTATTTCTATAATTAATCTCGCTCTATATTATTCCCAATAATATCAATAATAAATAGATTTGCGCAATTACAACTACTTGCATAGATGTTAATATGAATTATTATTAGATATCAACACCAAAGATAGGCGGATATTATACGAACTGCTGATAGAGTTTTAATATAAAACATGGTCGAAAGCAGAGTATGCGTGTCGTCGACAGACTGAAATAACTAACAATGCAACTGTACAAGAGGAAACACCATACAAATCTATTTGAGTATCCGGTTCTAAAGACGTCAACCTCTCTCGATGACGTTCATCTTTCCCTGTTTTTTTTACTAAGCCATTGTTGGCGGGTATAGAAATTTTGACCGGGATTCACAAGAAACCGCTTAATTTAAAACAGGGTTTTAGTACGGCATATTTAAATTAAACCAGTCGAGATTTTAAATAATTGAAATGCTCATACTCGATCGGGAAGGTTATCAAGCTAGCGCGAGTCCGAAACGGACCAAATTAAGTTGATTAAATTAAATTTTGATAGCAAGCAAGGAAGCAAGGAAGTGTAAATGGTTTTTCTAAATTTCTGTGATAACATGAATTTACTTACTAATATAGAGTAGATTAGATTCAGAGTAGAGTAGATTAGATTCAGAGTAGAGTAGAACAGAGTGGATTAGATTCAGAATAGAATAGAGTAGATTGGAGTGTTAGAAAAGGGTAAAAGTAGAATACAAGTACAAAATAGCAGCATAGAAGTATCTACAACTTTTGTAAAGAAGTCTTTTTTATATTATTTAAGTTTTTGTCATATTTTGAGGTTTTCTAATTGCTCCCAAAGTTTGACCACTTATTTCAGAAACACCCTGTATAGTATATACCGCGACAAGGATCGCAAATGTCTCACCTTGAGTCCCATGAGGGTAGCAAATGGGCAGGGTCGCATATATCTGTCCCTGATTGGGTATTTTACTAAAATAAATAACGTTGAAGTGTCATTAATGAGCTTAATGGAACAATATGTATGATACTTGCACTTATAATATGAATAATTCATGATTCGCATTAAAACAATAACATATTCACTCGATAATTCGTACTCATTTGATTTACCGTCGATAAATTTGTTGTATAAAAATTACTACAATTTCATTTGTGTCCATTATTTGTTTAGTTATTCATGAAATGGAAATATTTCGGTGTCTGTTACCAGATTGAACGTTCATGACTAACAGTATTTTGTTGAATCCATTAATTCATCTAAAATTCATAATTTTTTAGCATCAACAAAAATTAGAAAGCGCGTTTTTTAACAAAAAAAAGCCAGCTGGATCGAAATGTTTGTACGCAAGTACGCGTAATAAATTTATTCACGCCTTGGAGACTTCTCATTTTCTCAAAAGTAAAATCAGGACACAATAAATGCGTTTTTTTCGTTCGCCGATTTAATACTCTTGTTGTACGCCGTTTATTCATTTAAATAACACGTCCTTAAGTGGCTATGAGGAGCGTATACAAGTTTTGTAGAAAGCTAAACTTTTTGCTCTTGCATCTACTTCACTTACAATTAAAGATTAGTAATAGCTTCTATTATGCTTTACTAAGCAATTATCTTCATACATCATTGATTCCAAAATCCCTTTACGAATCAGATTTAATTAGATCTGATTTAATGCGAGAGGTCGCTCGAACGCAACAGAATAAAAGAAAATATGCCATTATTTTCTTGTACTTAAACCACCCCACCTCTCGTCAATCAAACGTCGAGTACTCGGCATTGTTTTTGCGGATCAAAAAAGATTATTCCGCGGTCGATTTGCCGTTGTAAAGACTTCCGTTTCGATCGGAATCGATCCGGTTTTTTCGACGTGAATTGGAGCTCTGTGACTCAGACCGCTCACCTGCATGTAAAATAAGTTTCTTTCGACTCGGGAAATACAGTAGGTGTACGTATTATCGAAAGGAAACGGTCGTCAGGGCCGGCACACGCGGTTACGTAGACACTCCTAATTTGAGACGCTAATTATGCGCTAGATGCGGTTTTTATTGCAACTAATAATTTTTGTTTTCGCCTCGAACGTGAAGATTAAAGATCGTCAGTAAATTTAAGTGGAATAGGTACTGTAATTGTGCGGTGAAAATTACCAGAGAAAGTAAATAGAAATTAGTTTACAATTTTGAGTGCAAATTCTAATTTCAATATATTTAATGGTGGAGTAGAACAGAACAGAAGAGAGTAAGAGCCGATTCACAAATTCGAATTGAGCAACATTAAACAACATCCAACAATAAGAAATTATATCCAATCGTTTGTAGATCTTTCAGGGATTATCGCTTTCCTGTTTCATCAAATTCCTGCACTATAGTTTCAAATATTTGAGCACCAAATATTTACCTTTCGGGCTCGAATTTGAACAATTCGTCAAACTCTCGTTAGTGGATTAAAAGCTCTGTACAAATCGCCTCGAAATTTATAAACACGCGATAGGTAAATTCCACCCACCAGACGAAGACATGACGCAGCTGGCGCGTTCGAACACTCCCCCATAGTTTTATGATTCATGTTACACCACTAAAGATAGACAGGTATGGCGAAATTGATGAGTTTTTCCATCTCGCGAGTAACGTGAACGCCAAGCCCTACACATGTGAAAATTCGAGCCGGACTGTCGCAAATTAAAATGCTGCTGGTAAGATGATACGGGAGTTTCTTTTCAAATAGCAGCGATCATTATCATAGATCAGGATCAACTGGCTTGAAAATGGGTTAATTGCTTACTCAAGCCGGAGCCGTGGCGTCACCTCAACGTCGTTTTTGATTAATTAAAAGTACATCCTAAGTCATTATGTTTCTAAATAAATTGGTACTAAACGCTGCATTTGAGATTTTGAAATTTTCATTATGCCATTAATGATTCATGCGCTGGTAATTTAATAACGGCTCGTCGACCGCCGGTGAATTATGCAGAATTCGAATGAAATTACAAGATTATTGCCGAGCAATCGAATAAATCGATTAGGTTGAACGGTCGCAAATTGTACTATTAACCATTAAATCGTTCCTTGTTAATTTCTACTTCTTTAGTCTTAGATTAAAGCGAAAACTCCAGATTAAGCTACGATGTTAAGCCACTGAGTTCTAGTAGAATAAAACATAAAACAACTATAGTTTGGTAAACCGGCCATGTGCTTTTACGAGGCCCAAGTGTTTCTGCAGACGTGCAGACGACTTTAGCTCGTTTTAAAAATAAATCCCCGGAGATTTTACGGTACATACTCTGGAATCGAGGGTTGAACGAATCGAATTTTCGGCTAATTCTTACGAGTCATCGAGTGCACAACGATCGCATTGTTCCTATGGGAAAGTGGGTATATTTGTATCGATTTCGGTGTCGAATTAACAAAGAGCTAATTGAAAACTTGTAAAACTTGTAGACGAACATGTGTCGGGGAGTATTTAATTTTAATTGCTGTCTACAATTATAAATCGTACTTTGTAGTATACTTTAAAATATTTTTTTCATTAATTTATAGTGTTGTTGGCAACATCTATTCTTTCGACATACGAGTCACTTCTGCAAGTTATCTTACTTATTTTAAGAATAGCATGATTATTATATTGGCACTGTTGAACTCAACCATATTTTTTATCTGTTCGCCATTAAATGTAATTAATAACTTCCAATTTGCAATAATTACTTTTGCAAGAGCATCCTGATTTTGAAATATTTTTACGATTAAATGGGCGAACATAAAAACATTCTCGCAATTATGCTATTTAACACACTTTGACTTAAGTTTCGTAAGTATAGTAAGGATATTTTGCTCGCCTTCACAGTAGGATGGGTTTTGCCGTTATATTTCAACGGCTAATTCGTGCATTAAATCGCTAATAATGTTTTTTTTTTAAATTGATTACGAAATAATTAATTCAGTTACACTATCTACATATGGTTAAAAGGCATGTAGCAGAAATTAATTATGGATATTTCTATTTATGTTGCTGTAATATATTTCAAGCATATACAGGCGTGGTTCGGGTTTGTTTCAATTTTATTTTTATTAATTTATAGAGGAAGTTTTTATTAGTATACAGGGTGGTTCTAAAAACCTTTAAATACTAGAGAGTTGGTTGTGAATAAAAAAAATGCGTTGGTAATACTGATTTGTTGTTTTGACATTTGCAACAGGCTTAAGGTCAATCATGCCGGTCCACCTACGCAGGCATTCTGACAACAACACGGACCAGTTTAACAACTCGACCGCCGAAAATCCCGGTTACTAATTTAACATTTAAACCATCGGAATCGGCGAATCGGCCGGCGAAGCGTCGAAGCATTTCCGGAGCGCCCGCGCCCGTCCCGGCGCCGCTCCGCCGATGTTATTCGAACGCGCTTCCGCATAAATTCAATTGAGCAAATCGAACCAATTTAATTCAGCGTTCGGTTCCCTCGCGATGCGAAGAATTGATACCGGCACAAAAGCATCCGACAGCTCAATAAACATTGTCCTCTCGCAGAAATGTTTGTTTGCGGCAGCTAAACCAAATACAGCCAGGTTCATAATGGGAAGTTCGAAGGGACGGTATGAACAACGGTATGATTTAGTTATACCGGTGCAGTAGGTGTAAATTCGTGTTTAGCTAGCTAGAGGAAAGTTCATAATTACCTATCCTGGAAATCCTTTATGTCAGTACTTCCTCTGCTCACTACTCTCTACTCTTTATCATCTACTCTACCGTGGTGGAATTCTAGTGCATTAGCTCACTAATTAAATTCAGGAAATACAGTGTTATTTGACGGTCAAGTTGCATAAAAAATCCTAATTTTTTTTGCTTACTAATATATCAATTAACCACTCAAGGATGAACATGACGCATACAGCATACTCGTGAATATTCTACAGAGTTATCGGAAAACCACGTAACAACATTATGCCTCTCACAGTAACGATCCTTACTTAATTTTTTCCGTGTAAGTGGTTTCGATAGGATAGGTAAAATAAAATTTCTGAGGAATTAATTACAGGCGTCGAGTTCGTAACGTTCCCGGCAGTTTTTTTAATCAACGCTCCGCGCGCATAAGTAGCGTTAACGTTGACATACACATGGAAGTGGAGTCTGTGAAGACGCTAAAACCGAAATAAATACATAAACTCCTACGGCGGCCTCGGTTTAACGGTCTCGTATTGGATTAAATCGAGACATTTGTCCGCAGACGTTCATTCGTTGTTATTGAGATTTATGATAATTGTACGTTTTTGGCGAAATTTCGCGCCTAATTACTCATTTGCTACCAAAGAAGGATGTGGTTTCGTTTTATCATCAATAACGATGGTTTAAGTTTAGAAACTCATGCGTTGGGTAAAAAAAGTCTGCGAAAGTAAATGTTAGCGAAAAGATTTGTATACTTATTAGATGTAATAACAAAGTATGTGAGCGTGTTTAATGTTTGGTAAACTTGGTTTATCTTTGCGATCTACACCAGTATTTTTTTTAATATAAACACTATCTGTTTTCCGAGATACTCAAGGACTCGCGCATTTTTTAGAGACTATTAACTGCACAATGTTCTCTCCAGCTTTAGCTTTTGTATTTATATCCGTTTCGGGTTAATTTTCAACTCGGAAATAGCCAATTGCAAATTTAGTACATTTCCATTAAAATTGCGTAAATTAAGAAGGACACCAGCAATTAATATTTTTGTGTAACTATCTCATGCATGAAATATTTTACCTCCAAAAAAACGTTCTATCCTACGAATTAATATTTCATATTTATTAGGTGTTTATATCGATCGTAATATTTCTCTACACACCCCGTTTATACAAAAAACATTGGTAAATCGAATTTTATTTCATGATGTTAACGCTCATTTTAATTTCCCGAATCATTTATCTTTGTATATACAAGGCGATGAGCGTTTCGACGCCTAGTTAACATCATCAGGAGATGTTAGGAAAGCAACATTACAATAACAAATAATGGTAAATTCAATTGTAATGTACCATATGAGCACGGTTTTTACCAGATGTGTGTGTGTATTACAGTTTGTTAACCTCCGTCTTTGCCGGTCGGTGCCACGGCTATTAATATCAACGTAGAGGTTAATTCATAACCTCCATTTTCGTAGGGGGAAAACGTACCGGCAATAAAGAACTAATGTGATTACTGATTCGATTATCGCCCGGTAATTACGACCGAACCCTTATTTTTCTTCCATAAATATCTCTTCATAAAAATGAACATGATTCCACTTCGATTTTTTTCTTAATTAGTTAAGAATGCTTCAAGAGCAAACAGAAGGGTGCAGCTTGGTTTAATTAATTTTATTTAATCGATAATTCCAAGTTAAAGAAACCTATTAGGTACAGACCGAGATGAATAGTTAGAGAGACACGAGACTGGAACCTTTAATTTTCCTCAAAAGATATGAATTTTATAAGCCAATTGAAAGTACTTTCACCTGATGCACTTACACCATCTGTTCAGTCATCCAACCTTTCTATATAGCTTATTTAATTTCATCAATTATATAAAATAGCTGGATTTTAATCACAGTTCTGCTCGTTTAAATTAAACTTTTACAGCTCTTTAACGGCCCGGCCTGGAATTGAAAATTCCAATGAAAATTAACGATATTTGAGGGAAAATTTCCATTAACAGGTACGGCACATTATAATGAATGAATGAATTCGCCATATGTATGCATTATTTAAACTTTATACAGTTAATGAGACTCGGACGTGAATCATAGCTTTTTCGATTAAATATTCATTTCGCGAGTGTATTTTTGTTGGTGCGAATTTTATTATTAGATATACCAGCCCAAGCAGATATCATATGAGTGGGTTTAAATTTGTTAATTCAGTAATCAATCGCAAAAAATTGCTTTGTCAATTGGAAATATATAGTGCATAATAAAAAGGCGATTGTAACTTATACTTTAAAGCTAGTCCCATTAGCCATAAAACTGAACATTTTGTGCGGTTGATGCCATTTCGTGAAATGCCTCGAGTGCCAAATTACCGTTTTAATTTACTCTAGACAAAATTATTTCGTTTGTAATTTAAGAACCGAATTTTAAGTGATTCCATGCGTGCCTACTTTTGACATATTTGATCCATGTTTAAATACTTTTTGGTATTCTATATTGAGATACCGGAAGCCGGGTTTCTCGATATAGAACGGAAACTTGTTACTTTTTTCGTCGAGAATAATTAAATGAAATGCATATCAAATGAAATACATGAATTTTATACGGTCCTTATTTTAAACAGACACTCTTTTGTGAGGGCATATTTAATTTTTGGCACCCACTTGACATTTTCAACTAGCGAAGCCAAAACAAATAATGCGCAAGGTTTTTTTATTACCGCAGTGAAATTTGTGAAAATTTGTGTGAATTTTACGTAGAAATTCGATATAAATATACTCAATTTGCAGGAATGTAAATTTCATTGATATTCAATCATTTTATCAATGATTCGCGTGATGCTAAGAGGTTACTGAGAATACAGTACTTATGAAACGTCCTGTATAATATCTACAATTACTCTGATTCACTATAATTGAAATCATTTCGACGAAAACCGACGTAGAAAGCAAGTACTTGATAATTTTAAAGAACAGACTAAAGGATGTGTTTAAAAAAACATTAACGTATTTGTCGTGGGTTATGTTGAAATAATCTTACATAAGTAATTCATTAAAATATCGCACTATTCAAATTTTAATCGTTTTATTACAAAGTAGTGCTGAAACTTTTGAATTATTTTAATAATACACCGGAAAATCCTGGTATGTATTACCTACATAGACTGTAGAGGCAAGTTTATGTCGAGTAACACATCTTTCAAAAATGAAATTGCGCAAAAGACTTGCATCTTTTCCTAGTCCACAAACACAATATTTACTCTGAGTAGTTAAAAATACCGTAAATTGGTTTACGCAACGTTATATGTATACATTCATTTTAAACGCGTTATGCATCATTTCAACGCGTTCGAAGTTAATTTTGCACTTTTTACGAATACCTTCCGGTCACAGAAACCCCAAAACTCGATATCGGGCGAAAGAAGTACACAAACGCGTGCTAATGTTTACGTTTTAACGTTGTTTTGACATGAAGCATGCATACATTTCAATTTTTTTTGCTCGCGCTGAGGCAAACATTAAATTTAAGACGTGTAGTTTTGTATACTCGGCGGTCAGAGAAGACATTAAGCAGGTTTCACGACTGAAATGAATTATGTTTCAATAATAAATGCTAATATGTTTAAATAATCTGCATTTCCAAGAAGGCGCTAATTTCATTCAACGATTTCAGTTTCACTTTTTTCAAGTTGTATTAAATTCAAGAAACATCATTAAATACTTCGATTTATCAACATTAACGTCATTTATCAAAACATTTAATTCATTTCGAAGACATTTTTCAATTGAGCAAACCTCTCTTTAAGGCTACTTTGGCGCCCACATAGCGCCGAATTGGAGCTGAATTCCACGTTAACCTAATCTCTGCGGAGCGGAACCAACTTATTTCGAAATTAGAATTAACTGTATTATTGTGTTCGATATCTGCGCGGAGTAATTCGATCGACGTCTAACGGGATTTGCCACAACCGGAGTAGATTAAAAAGTCTATCTAAAACGCAAATGTGGTAGCTTAATGTCTTTGTTTTGTAAACAGTCTTAGCTATCGCGAATATTAATTAGATTAATTAGAAACCGATAATTCACGGAATTTCGTTCGCGGTAATGAGATTGCTTGTTTCGATCTTTTTTTTCAGATTCTACTCTATTCTAATCTTATAAATAAAGACAGGTTAATTTTTTCAGTTGTCATTTTTGACAGGTGACATTTTCTAAGGTCACTAGATTATTTCTTCTTTGATACTTTTTGGCATATTTTGTATTACTTTTTGATTCAAAATACCTAATAATTAAATTTTCTTCATTTTTTTACAGATGAATTACACCCTGTATCGGATTTTAGGCATCATACGCTCGTAAAACCAAAAATTTACCATGGAAGAGAAAAAAGACAAATTTCGTCGACCAAAGAAAAGGTATGTACCTAATGTAATTTGCACATTTGCACACTTGTTTATCCCATAAATTATTACGCAATTAATACCTCCATAATTTGATCCTTTTTCAAATGATTAAATCGCTTAATTAATATTAAATTTTTCAGACTGGAGAACACGCTAATCACTTACAAATTACAATGGAAGTCGACGGAGAAGAAATGACCTTAGATTTAATGCTAAATAAGCATCTGATATCGGAAGGTTTCTTCCACAAACACCAATCGAACGGGGAATATCAATTGCATCGACCCAATTATCTAGTAAGCGTTTTTGCGAATTATTTACACAAGCAAACGTCAATGTCAAAATCTAAAACATTTTTTTAACCGAAACCACGGTCGTATAATATTAGGTCCAGAAACTCCATGATGTCACTCTGAGCTGAGGGCGCTAAAGTAGTGTTGTTTAATCGTATGTTCATTTCGCTATTTTTCCGCTCGACCCAAAATCACAATAAGCGCAACACCCCCTGCCAGAAAATTATCCAAGTTTCCAGACCTGTATGTAAGACCGTGCTAGCAATTACATTTAGCACGTCAATGTCAAAAATACGTCAAAATTTTTGGCATAAAACACGAAAATTTACCGAACGAAGTTTATTTCTCGCATATATTTACATTTTCGTGCATTTTTAAATCTTCTTTTAGGAAGCGAATCTTTGCGATTACAAAGGAAAAGTGCGTGGGAAACCGAATTCCTGGGTGGCGTTGTCGACTTGCCACGGCCTATCCGGCGTTATCTTCGATGGAAGCGAAATGCATTACATCGAAAAAGGACCGGGTTCCGATGACGTCCATTATTTCTATAAACATTCCGATTTGGTAGAAAATAACAAAACTTGCGGGTACGCCGGGGACGCCGTCGATCCCGAGCGATCCCACGTCCACAAAGATAATAGAATATTAAGGGTGAGTTTGTTATGTATTTATCGTGTTTGTTTTTCTGTGACTGCAATGTTTTTTTTTTGTTTATTTCATGGGAAACGATTTGGCTAGAAAGCTTTGTAAATGTAAAGTAATAGCCGTGTTGGAGTTGATTGTTTTTTAGAGTTTCATTCGACCGACAATTCGCATTATTACGGCGAGTGATCTCCGGTATATTAAACGTTTCTGTCCCAATAATTACGTTTTATATTACCTTTAAGATGGCTGTAGTTGCACGAGTTTCTCAGATTTTATTAAAGTTATGAGGTATAATTTAAATATGTATCCTTTATTTTTTTAAGCCTGATTTGTATTGCTTAATGGTTACTACCAGGCATGAAGTGAAAGTTTATCAACACTTTAATGAAAAAATAAAAAAATAATGGAAAAGTATACAAGAAAATTGATTTTTGAATGCATTATAAAATACTTTCATTTTTTTTTTCATTATATTCGAGATATCTCGCAAATATCCTTAGTAATACAAATTTTATCCATTTCTAACTATCTTCGCAAACTGTAAATAAAATACTTGGAATATTATTGTTGATATCGTTGAAAATAGTTGACATCACTATATTGTTTAGTTTTAGGAATCGCGAAACAGGTTTCAATGATCAAATAGAAAACCATTTTGCAATAAATTATAATTTATAAGTTAAATAGGACGTATCTATTGTAACAATAAATAAATTTTAATAGGGCTATACTACTCACATCGAATAGATGTGTGTGTAGATATATTGCGCAAATTAATTTTAACAGCGTTTCATTATTTATAACAATATCTTGTTGATCAACAGATTTTATTGTGCTTATATCTTACCAAGAATTTGAGAAAAAAAATCAATCAGTAATCAAGGTTGATTTATTGCGAGTCAGTACAGTTCATACAACATGTACAAAATGTAATTTCTTATTTTTATATTTTAGTGAACTTGTTTAGGTACTAAAATTATCGAAATAAAATACAAATGTTCATGTAAATTAATCGTAATTTTCTTGTGTTTCCAGTATAAGAGAGACGCAGACCAACAGTTAGTCAGGGGACCCTATAATGCCAATAAAGAATCCAAATATGTAGAATTAGTGCTCGTCATAGACAATCAAGAATTCAAAGAGCTCGGTGAAAGTACAACCAGAGTGGTAAATCATGCCAAAAACATTGCCAATATTATAAACGGGGTAGGTGGTATTCGCATAATTGATGCCTGAACCATTAGCAACTAATTTCCTTTTTATTTTCCAGCTGTACTCTCCATTAAATATTTTTATAGCTTTAGTAGGCGTAGTAATATGGAGCGAAAACGACGAGATAAATTTCTCCACCAACGGTGATACAACGCTCACGAATTTTTTGCATTACCGCAGAGAAAAACTGATCAAAAGTCATCCCAACGACAATGCTCAATTACTAACGTGAGTTATTTTATTCAAATGCTTTTGTATTCCATTCAGTAGCAACCTACTAACCCGTATACAAACACTTTAAATATCTAATGAAGCCATTTGTTTACCTAATAATAGCGTTATATGTTTACCAAAGTCAATTTATCAACCCTTTAGGGTTAACTTACCTACACCTCAAGGCAAAAGAGGAACTTAAGGAAGCTTATTTATCTACCGTATTTTATACTTTTATATACTATACACTATACTAATTATTGTATTGATAACATGTTAGTAGTAATATTGATTATTGTTTATTTTTTTCAGGAAATTTACGTTCGATAACGGCGTAGTGGGCAAAGCCCTTAAAGGGCCAATATGCACCTACGAGTTCTCCGGCGGCGTAAATACAGATCATTCACCTGTTGTAGGACTTGTTGCTACCACTGTTGCTCACGAAATGGGGCATAATTTCGGTGAGTCGCCCGCATTTAATAGAACATTTCGAACTATCGATTTCTTATGAGTTATGAGCGAATTATATCGAGTTTTACTACAGTCTTGTCAGATTGGTTTGATTAAAACGCTTTGTTGGTTTACCATTTTTATCGGGCAATAATCCTAAATTAAATAAATATGTTGCGTTCTTTATTATACAGGGTGGCCCAGAACTCACGCCCCACCGGGAAATGCCTTATGGAAACGACAATGGAGATGCCAAAACTGCAGCCGAAAACATAAAAAGGTTTTTCCTTTGGTTTACCAACTTTATTTATAAAGAGGTTGAAAATCAACCAATTTCAGTAGCACTTTAAATTCGCGAAAATGACGAGAATTAATACTTACACCAATTTGACATTATTGAAAGATTATACATATGTCCTTTTCACTTTTAAAGTTAACAAAAGCTACACAAATCGGCTGTGGCTATTGATTTTCTTCCAAAGATTTTCTTCCAAATTGATAAAAAATTGAATCATTCGATTCGAACCACTTTTGAAGCAATAAAAAATTCTGAAGGTTTCTTATCACCACGACGGAGCTCCTGAATGATCGATTTGGAAGCAAATCTTTGATCAATAGTAACAGCTGATTTTGGCAGCTTTTGTTAACCTTGAAAGTGAAAAGGACGTAGAATCTTTCAATAATGTCAAATTGGTGTATAGCTAATTCACGTCATTTTCGAGGATTTGAACATCTACTGGGATTGGTCAATTTTAAACCTCTTTATTTACCAAAGGAATAACTTTTTCAAGTTTTCGACTGCAGTTTTAGCATCTCCATTGTCGATTCCATAAGGCCTTTCCCGGTGGTTCGTGAGTTCTGGGCCACCCTATAGATATTTTTCTATTATTTCTCAAGGCATGGAACACGATACGAACGAATGCGATTGCCCGGAGGACCGTTGCATCATGGCGCCCAGCAGCTCGACCTTCGCCCCCCAGCACTGGTCGTCCTGCAGCGTAAACTATCTCCTGCAGGCCTTCACGCACGGCATGGACTACTGCCTGAAGAACAAACCCAAAGCGCTCTTCGACAGCCCCGTCTGCGGCAACGGTTTCGTGGAACAGGGCGAACAATGCGACTGCGGCCTGGCCGAGCACTGCGACAACTACTGCTGCAACGCCACCACCTGCATGCTGCACGCCAACGCCAGCTGCGCCACCGGAGAGTGCTGCGATCTTTCGGTAAGCCGGCCAGTTGAGCGGTGAAGCCTTATACACTCAGTGCATGACGCGTCATGTTACAATCGTTTCTACATTTTATTTAGTCTACTACAGTTGGTGCAAAACATATATCAATGCACATCACTACTGTCGTCATACTTGCCAAGGATTGTGCCCAACTGTGCCCAACTTAATACCTGGTGAATTTAATTTAATATTAACAAGGGATGAGAGAAAATGTTAAAAAGCAAAATTAAATCATCCAAAAAAATATTTATTGTCAAAATTCAACGTTGGTATATAAAATTATTATTATTTTCTTATAGTAGGTTGGTAGACACTGACTGACAAGTTGCATAGTTGCCGTTGTCATCCGATCGGTACTTTTAATTTTCAGTTTTTTCTTCTTCTTTCTTGTGTACTAGCCTCAACTATGTACTAAAGGCTATTCAGTTCAATAATCAAGAAATAAGAATTTTTACACAATTTGACACAATTTGAGCTCTAAATAATTCAGATTCAGAAGTTTTTTCAGAAATTTTACTATGTACTCTTTTAAGGGCCAATTGTACACGAAATTTTTTAGTCGCACTATCAAATATATTTCAGATGATAAAGGAATTTAATGAATAATTATAGTGAGCCCCTGAATACGTCCGCCGTTTAGAAACATGAAACAGGTACCCCTAATTTTCAATTTGTTCTTGTCATTTTGCCATTTGGCAAATTTAGAAAATTCTTATTTTTTGTAAACTCTATAAAAGTTCGACAACACTGCCTACTTGTGACGTAGTAAATCATAGGTGACGTGCATTGATATTTGTTTTGCACCGACTGTAGGTAAAATAATACTTAATTCGTGTATATTACAAACAAATTTAATATTTCTTGCTTTGTTCTAGACGTGTTTGCCGAAAGCAGCTGGGACCCTATGCAGATCGGCGGACTACGAATGCGATTTGCCGGAGTACTGCTCGGGGCAATCGGAGTACTGTCCGGAGAACTTGTACAAGCTGGACGCGGAGGAGTGCGACGAAGGCAGGGCCTATTGTTACCGCGGGTATTGCAGCACGCGAACGGACCAGTGCAAATTGCTGTGGGGCGATACGGGAAAGTCCAGCGACGACCAGTGTTACATGATGAACACCAAAGGCACGCGACACGGAAACTGCGGTTACGACAAACTGACGCAGAGTTATTTCAAATGCGAAAACGAGTGAGTAATCGGCTGTTTTGAATGTCTTGATTACATTTAATCGGTGGTTTTTCAGGAGCGTTTTATGCGGTATGCTGCATTGTAAACATCTAAACGAACGGCTGGAATTCGGTATGGAATCCGTGGCGATTCTATCGCATACGTTTATCAACAAAAAAGGTTCGATTATTCCTTGTAGAACGGCGATTGTCGATTTGGGTTTGAACCAAGTCGATCCCGGTTTGACCCCCGACGGGGCCATATGCGGAGATGGGAAGGTTCGTATACGAATTACTCACGTCCTCTAATTATAAATAAATAAAAATAATACGTTACAATGTTATATTTAGATGTGCGTAAACCAGAAGTGCATGTCGGTGTCGAGTTTGAGGATACACGGACCTCAATGCGAGAAAGATTGCAACGGTAACGGATGGTGCAATAATAAAGGACATTGTCATTGTAAAAACGGCTTTTCACCGCCGAATTGCGATTATCCCGGCCCCGGAGGTTCATTGGACAGCGGTCCAGCAACTGATCCTAACGGTAATTACCCTATAAATTTATTTCCCTGTGATGGAACTGATGAAACATGATGAATTTATGTAATTTACGAATTTGACTATTTTGAAATTCAAATAATCCTTTCCGAAATCAAACTGACTATTCTGAAATACAACTGATGGTTTCTGAAATCAAATTTATTATTCTGAAATACAATTGAAACTTTCCGAAATACAAGTGACTATTCTGAAATTCAATTGACGCATTCTTAAATGAACCTGACGCTTTCTGAAATACAATTGGAAATGGTGTAGTCATATGCACAGTTGCAAAAAAATGCAAATGAAAACCTTGTTCCATTAATCATATATCACTCATAGTCTAAGATAGGATGATAAATGATCGATTAATAGCATGCCAATACTATTCTACCATCGAGTAACGATCATCAATCACCCGCTTTACGTAATCGCTAATAAAAATGCTAATTCGCCGGTTTTGGTTTGAAGCTCGCCAAGGCATCGTCACCGCCATGTTCATCATCTTCCTCGGCGTGGTGCCGCTGCTGGCGATCGTCGCCTTTCTCTCCTACTACGCGAAGCAGAACTGCACGCCGGGCCGCAACAAGTTCGCCTCGCCGACGTACGTATCCCAATGGTTCGAGCACGCTTGCAGGGGTGGCGCGTTGAAACAGCCCGAGCCGATTCCCGCCGTCTCGGCGAACGTGCCGCTCGACGGCCGGTCCAAGTCGGATCGGCCGCAGATCGAGCTGACCACGTTGGTCAGCACGACCAACGGCGAATGCATAGCGAGGAGTAATACGATCGTGCAGAGGGATCGAGACGACGGGGATCGGGCGGCTGGTAAAATGGGCGGGAAATTGTCGTTGAGGAATGTTAAAAAGTTGAAGTTGAATACCGCGTTTAATAAAGGGTCTGGTAATGGTGGTAGTGGTGGTGGTGGTCCTTCGCCTCAGACTTGTGAGACGGTTTGTGACGATTCGCCGTTTAGGTGTTGAAGGTTTTGATTGACGTAGTTATACAGGTTATTAATTGAATGTCGATACTTCAGGATATGAATATTTGGCTAATTTTATGAAGAAAAGTTTATATTAATATATGTCCCAAGCCTCTTAGTTTTCGAGCTAACAAGGTGTTATAGTTTTCATAATCATAATTTTATTATTACTTCGGATATTTTTATGAAATTTCGGACGTGGACGTCACTGGTAATGGTAGAAAATTATTTTGTATCCCCCAAAAAAGTGTTTCTATGCATGGTGGTGCAAATTTCAACAAAATATTAAAAGCAGTCTTAATGAACTTGGGAAAAAATTGTTTTGGTTTTTATTTTTTACGCGAAAATGGTTCGTTGTACGAAAATAAATGAGGATTTTAAAAATAATTTTGGTTTTTATAAAAAACAGTGACGTGCCATTTTTTCTTCAAACGTATTCAGTTCAAACCCCGTACGAACGTCACTGGTAAAAATTAAAAAAAAATCTTTTGCCTCAAAAAATGCTCCTTACTAATTAAAAAGTGTACAAAATTTCATAAAAATATCTGGAGTAATAAGAAAAATTATGATAGAAATTTTTTTTTATTGAAATCATCCAAATATTTACATCCTGAAGTATCGACACTCAATTAATTAACACCCTGTATAGAGCGAAAATTGGGGTGGGATTATGTTTCGTAAAGTCCAGGTGCATGCTTATACATGTATAATAACTTGATTCAATAATGGTATTCGAGGTTCGAGACTTTTAAAGATATACGAATCATTAACTTGAAATAATGTCTTTCTTGGTGCATTGTATTCGTTTTATATTGACTAATTATTTAAATCGTATTTGGCATTGTGATAAGTAGGAAATTAATATTATTTTAACCTTTTGTGGTATAGCATGTAATGCATTGTATTTTTATTATATAACATTTTATCAATTAGTGATACTTCCAAATGGAAATATTCCATTTATAGAAACAGGATTGATCGAATTAAATTTGATTTTTTAGCACTTATTACTAATAATGTGATAAATAATTACTTAATTACTTAATGTTTAATTTTCATACAGTAAATTCTATTCAGACGGAGCATACTCGTTCCTTTCTTTATACAAGTTTGCTTCTTTTGTAACAGATTTTATTGTTCATTAAAGTACTTTTTTCTTTATTAAAATACTTTCTAAATGTATACAGGACAGCCTAATAACGCTCTAAAGCTCAAATCATTAAGTTTCCTTATTGAGATTATTTCGCATTTCACCAGTCTCTAGGAAGATGTCCTGTGTATATTTTATTTACTTAATACTTTTATAGTTTATTCGTAGACGCTTCCTTTACTAATTTAACATTTTTTTTAACTTATTTTTCTAATAAACATTTTGCCTTTCGTATTGTCTCAGTAGTGTCTTGCATGTTCAACGTTGGTTGTGGTACCTGTAGTGCTTCGCTTGTAGTACAAGTTTGGATTGTGTAAGCAATTTTTTATTCTACTTTATACAGGGCATTTTCTAAGCACGTGCAGAAACTGCAGAGGATGGCACAATTTCCTTTCAATCAACCAATTATTGATCTCTAGCATTTTCAGCATCTTTAAAAACATTAAACTTCTTTTAAATGCACATTAAACAGCTAATTATTAACATTATTAAAAAACATTAATTTTGATGTAGTTTATCACACACGTTTAAATTCACAAAGAACCCTCGTAAAATTGGCGTTCCACTGCACATGCTTAAGAAAATCGATTTCATTTCTATACAACAAAATTAGGTTATAGTTTCTAAAATACATCGATAAATAGCGAAAAATCGCGTCTCTCGTGTAAGTAATGCAGGTTTTCTGTTGGTTCTTCAGGTCGAAATCGCCGGGCAAGTCGAGAGGGACCTCTTTCCCGTCGGAAATCGCCAAGCGCACCGAAGACAATCATTCCCTTTTGCGCGAAGACACGCCGCCCCCGGCCGGCTTCATCGTCCTGCCGGGCAACTTCTTCGGCAATTTCAAAGGATTTTCCATCAGCCCGCTGAAGAACGAAGAACCCCAACCGGTCAGAAGCGCCCCGTCGCCGCCCGTTAAAGGCGCCACCTACGCGAACGCGCCCCAAAAACCGACCGATTCGGACGCTTCCAACGATAAATCCTCGGTACCTACGAGGGCCGCTCCGCCGGCTCCCAAACATCCAGTCACCGGCCTCATAAGCAACTCCATACAAAAGTACAATTCCTTCCGGAAAAACGCGCTTTCCGCCGGAGTATCTAACGTCAACGACGTCTCGGCGGCTCCGGCTCTACCGCCTCCGAATCCCGGCAGCAACGCGCGACCTATTATCTCCTCGCCGGTGTTGAAAAACTCCACTTGCACCGCCAAGGAGCTCGTATCGCCTCTACGAAACGCCCCGACAGCTCCAACTCCACCGCCGCCCGATTACATCGAATTCAACGCACCCGATGACGCTCCCGACGCGCTCCCGAGCCTCCCCGAAGAACCGAAGAAGCCCAAAGAAGGCACCGGCACCTTAAACAGGATCACCTCCTTTCTGAAATCCTCCGACAAGAAACCCGCGGTGGTACCCAAACCCAGCCAACTCAAACCCAACAAGACCATCAACAAAGAAGCGCTGCGCAACATCGAAATATCGAACCCCATACCGCAAACCCGCATCGAAATCGCCGCCACCGCGCTGCCGGTGGAGAAAGAGGCCGCCAGGAGCGTGGTGATGCGCGCGCAGAGCATGCGCACGACGAAATCCGAACGGCCGCGCATCCAGACGTTCGGCTCGATGCGCCAACCGAACGGCCCCAAGCGGCCGCTGAGCATCCCGTCGGGGGCGCGCCCCACGAGCCCGCCGCCGCCGCGGCCGCCGCTCGACGTCCCCAAGGAGGCGCCGAAGGCCGAGGAAGAGAAGTACGAGGACCAGGAGGAGGGGGCGAGCCCGACGGGCGACAACATCTACGCGGTGATCGAGGAGAGCCCCGAGTCGCCGGCGAAGCCGCCGCCGTCGAACGACAGCATGGGTTTGTTGGGGGAGATCGTTAGCGAAATACAAAACAGGAATTTCGATTCGATATACTCGACATCTACTTTGGCGAGGAAGCAAAAGGAGGCTATCGATAAGGAGAAACCTTCTTCGGAATCGTCGCAAACGTACGTTAACACCGCTTCTTTGCAGTACGCCGATAACAGCGAGTACAGCAACATGAGCGGTAACCTCAAGTCTAGCGATAGTTCCACTTCCAGCGGTTATATATTACCATCTGCTGTTAACGTTCCCGTTAAACAGGAACCGACTAACGTGAGTTTATCGACGTTCAAAAGCGGCTCGAAACCGCCATCGTCCGGCTTCAAACCGAATCCGAAGAAAGTGGAAACGTCCCCGGACCGGACGAACTCCAAGACCAAACAACCTCCGTCGCCCACGAGCAAGGCGCCCATCGCCAGGCAGACGACGCCGCCGAATTTGGTGAAAACCAGGAAACCGTCGCCGAGCAGGCCGGCGCAGAAGTCGAACCGATCGGTGACCAACAGCCCCGACTTGGTGACCAGCTGCAACGCCAACGGCAACGGGCCCTCGAAGCCGCCCGACGTGCTGGGGACCAGCCCGGCGGGCAAGAAGCCGTCCATAGCGAGCGCCAAGCCGGCGGTGAAGACGGGCGCCGCGAAGGGCGCGAAATCGGTGAGTTTCAAGTCGCCGCAGGAGAAGAAGGGCGAGGCCAAGCCGGCGGCCGGCGGTAAAGCGGGCAAGGCCGGGTCTGGAGTCGGGGGTGATAACGCGAAAACCCCGGTGGGCGTCAGGAACGCCGCCAGGTCGAATTCGAACGTAGCGGCGCTACAGCAGAAATTCGAAACGAAGACGACTGCCAGTTGAATACTCGATGGTTTGAATGAGGTAATTGAAAAATTGTTTTTGAAAATCAATTGTTACACTACGTTTTTGTTCTACATGCAATGGATTGCTTTTATTTTCTGACTACGTTCGCTTAAACAGAGTAATTAGCAGATCTTATCGAATTGACCCCAAAACATTGTATGAATGGAAAATTCGGCCGAAAGTGTAAATTGATTTTTAAAAAATAATGTAAATATTATTTTTTGATTATATGAATAAGATTTATCAGAAGCGTTAAATTGTTCGAATATATTTAAATTCACGCTGTTTTAATTACAAATTTAACTTTCATTTAAAGCGATAACTCGTGTTTTTCTTGTTTTTTACAAGTTTGTAATTATCTAATCTCCTGCATAAATATGGAAATTCACTGTGAATTCAATGCAAAAGAGATTTTTCTTATGTTACACTAGCACTCATCTTTGATCTATTACCTTGGTAAAATATTTTATAAATCTCATATATGATAAGAAAATGTGATTATTACCTATATTATTTTGAAAATTCAACAGTTACTATGCTTTAAATTTTCCTAAAATAAAATAATGCACTTAGGTTGGAAATACGTGTACATAGTAAGGTAAGTAATTAGGAATAATGTAAGATACGAATAATTGAGTAAACAGCGTGACTTTAATTAAAATATTTTTCTATTTAATTTTGATCTATGAGTAAAATTAAATTATTGAATTATTCCCTTAAATTGCATCGACGAAAATATTTAGGATTCTGCATTTATTATATTTTTTGTACATATACCAAAGATTGTATTTAATAAAAATACAATATTTCTTGAAGTTTTCATTTTCATCGACAATTTATTTCGTAAAAAAACTTTCATCTTTCCACCTTTATTTTTTACAAAAATACTGACAATTTTCATTTACAACAAAGAAACATAAAAACAAAATGGTATTTACATTGAATACTTAATCGTAAGATACAATAAATAAGCGAGCTTAAGTTATATAGCGAAAAAAATTCGAATATTCGTTTTTCAAGTAAGTAATACTGGGAAATAAATTACCTAATAAAATAAATTTACAAAAATAAAACAAAATCCCTTACAAAAAATTATTAGGTACGTTTTTGAGCAAAATCTACAAAAATGTTCCGTTTTAAGAAAATTAAGTTTTAATAAAACTGAACATTCAAAAAAATTTAAGGAATATTGCTTTATTGTCTGTCACTTAAGAGTCTAAAATAAAACTTGATCTCCTATGAAAGTAAAAAATAATTCGTATTTACGCATACACTTTTAGTAAAATAAATTACGGCAAGATAGAGTAATAAGTTACAACTTAGAATACTTATGTATGCTATAAATATCCTTCATTAAGTGTGGCGATTGTGATCATAAAACAAGATTTTCGTACAAAAATAAAATATTGGCATCTACTTCGACGGAAGAAATTAACGATGGCTCACACGGGAGCTTTTTAATCTACGATCACCTTTTAATATCAAAAGAACGGGGGGGAGTATCTATTCATCCGACAACAGTCCCTCGATCAAAACAAATCAAATCATCACCGCACCCCTAACGCTACATCAGCACGATTAAACTCCGACATCTAATCGGATTCCGGGGCGTTTCAGCAGCTCGTCTCCAACGGTACCACTTTGGTCGTACCGTTCGTTATGCAGCTATTGGTATTCGTCAGGGTATCCCCCATGGACGGCGGCCCTTGCGAGCTCATCGAGTGATGGTTAGTAGTCCCTGCCGTCCCGTTTTGCCTCCTCTTCCTCATGCACCAAATCCTCTTAACAGCAGACAGCACCTGAAATATCCATTAATTTGTGAGCATGTAAAAAAATTGCGTGGCCTTCGCTATTGCGATAATTCAGCGCTGCCTTTTAGGCGTAGATATTTACCTGCGGCTGGCATCCGACTACGATGAATATGAAAACTCCGTGAATGCTGTTGATTAAATCGGTGGCGTACCAAATTTCCTGCGGTCCTCCTGCGATGAACGAGATCAAATCGGCGATCCACGATACACCCATCACCACGACGAGTTTTAAGCAGACCCTGCCTAGCGCGGCCCTGCAACAAACACTCATTAATATCAAATCGAGTAGTTACTGTAGACAGGAATAGTTAAAGACGTAACCTGCGCGATCTTCAAGCGCGCACACTCTCCCGTCTCCAGCTATTCTTGTCGCTCTGTACCCAACTATTCGAAATGGATTTTTCGACGAGAGGTTATTGTTTCTTAGATTAGCGCCGCTAATTTGTCGGGGAATTGTTCTCACCTTTCGGTCGTCGATTTCACGAGTTCTCTCTTCCACAAACCGCAGGTTAACTCCCTGGCCGTGAGAGCGAACAGCAGCAAATTCACGAATAGCAGGAGACCGACCGGCCCGAAGAAGTACGTGAGTTTCTCGCTATCGCCTGAAAAATAAATGTGTAGCGAATTACACGATTGCAGGTCTATTAAAGTTCGATTATTACATTTGTAACGATGCAAAGTGGGAAAAGTATCGTAGGAAATCTTAATTAGCGATTTACATCTCGGTGTTTCGTTTAAAAGCCGTACAGGAAATTTAAAGTACGGTTATCTTAAACAACCGTTAATTCGTTTAGCGCAATCTTTCCTGCTTAATATCCGATTTGTTTTTAATTATTTGTTGTTGCCGGTGAGAACGTTTTGGACCGTTTAATTATCTCCTCTCTTCGGCTATAATTATTTAATTCTTTTAGGTGAATCATGGACAATTAGTTAAGTATTTTCTTTCTTCTCGGCAACGCCAATCTTGCTAATTTGTTTAATAAAAATGTTAATAGGGAAGTTTCGTTCAGGAAAGGCTTAATGAATCGTACAAAGGACTCGTTAACAAGAAGTTCGTCGAGTGGCCTTTGTGTGGGTTGGTTCGTTGATTTAACAGCGAAAGTAGAGTGGGATTCAATTGTAAAAATTGTGAAAATAAATTAATTTTAAGTTTGTTTAATACGCTTACTCTATTATCTCAAAGTAGTTGATAGTATAATCTTCTTCATAGAGAATTTTAGTTTCAAGACTCTAAGGTGGTGCCAATTACACTTTTTTTGTACAGAGTGTCAAATTTTTAAGTGCTTTATCATAAAAACATGCGATTTTCTCAAATATGTTTTATTTTATTAGAAGTTTTTTACAGTGATACAGAAATTATGCATTACCAATACATGGTGTTTTAACAAAATCTCCTATATTTTTTATTTTAAATTCGCAGTAACCAGTTTTTTTTTAGTAGAACACCCCGTATATATAGAGGTATTCTGAAAGATATACTCTTCTACTTTTCAAAAATGTATTATTTGTACATGTTATTCTACAAAAGAAGATGTCCTATTTCATAAAATTTGATTAATGTGAATTTAAAAGCGGGGATTTTTATAAAACACCCTGTACAGCCGATACAAAATTTTAGTGTCACTGTAACAAAAAAATATAGCAAAATAAAATATATGTAACTGCGAAAATTTCATGTTTTTATGATGGGGCGTTTAAAAATTATAAACTGTATTTCTAAACTGAATTTAGAAAAAATATGGTTTGATGGATTTTTTTTGAATCCAAAGAATCGCCTTTACTAATTCCAGCACCAGACTAACTACACCCTGAATGATAAACTGCATGTCTTGTAGGTGTATTAACGAAACAAATACCAGATCATTTTTGATAATGAATCATTGCTTATACGAATATTTAGCGTAGGTTATGGTTCGCAATGCTCTTTTTTTACGGACGGTGTTGACTGAGTGCAACAATCTTTTAATACGAATACGTAGGCAGCGGATTCGTTTACGTAGGTATATCTCGGAATAATTTTTCAAAATTCCATTTACCATAAAGTTAGAGAAACCATTCAAAAATTTTAATTGTTGCAAGTCAACTATAAGAAAGTTTGTAAGAGGGTTTTTGTTGAAGTACCCTGAGCCCTTTGTATTCTACCTACCTTTATCGTTCTACCTGTATATACCGATACAACATCAACAACCGTCCGAATCGCCCTGTAACGACAACCGAGGAATAAGAATCGAGCGATGCGCCGTTCGAACATTGTCAGCTCGATAATATAAACGCGGCTCCTGGATTGGTCGCCGAAAATCAATGGCGGTTGACTCACCGATAATATCGATTTTCTTTAGGGCCTTCCATGCACTTTTCCCGTCGTTGGTGCGACGTTTTTGGAAGCGCGTCCGCAGTGGCCCCGGCGAATTCGTGTCATTTTTCCCGTCGTTTTGTGTCCCGAAAATCGCACAGGTGAGTACAGAGATTTTTTAAGTTTTTATTTCGCTGGAAATCGCCGATCGATAGTGCGGCGGCAATCGCATTGCCGGGATTGGGATTCGAAATCCGATTGTTCGAAGCGAACGGGACATACCGTCGGCGTTTGTACGCATCGGCCGAGCGGGAGAGCTTGCCGCGTAAAATCCATACGAATGGGATGGATGTCGATCGCAAAGCCTTGGTCTCTTCGTACTGAATTTATTATTCAATGGGATGGGAGTTTTTATTTATAAATTCCTTATTTATTTTAAGTAGAGGATTAGGGCTAATTTATCCACTGCAAATTCAGTTTCTATAATAATTTATTTGTGAATCAGTATTCAACATTAAAAGTACTGAAAAATGTTAAGTTAGGCAATGAAAATTTTAACGTCGTAGGTCTACTGGGCAAAATGGTCAATTATTTTATTATACGGCAGGTCAACTGGGCAAAGACTCTTTCCTGTCCCCTTTTTGGGTAGAAATTATGATAGAAAAGTAATTTTTTCTAAAACTGTAGGTAACACAATGTAGCTCCAAAACTAAGAGGTTTAGGACATATATTGATATAAACTTTTCTTCTTAAAACCATCCAAATATTCACATCCTGAAGTATCGACACTAAATTAATTAACACCCTGTATAACTGATACACAGAACTATGAATTTCTTTACCAACCACCGTATACTCCTAAGTACTTCCTTAACACCTTGTGTGCACCTAATTTGCTATAATTTCGTAATTATCGATTTCGCGATAACGGTATCGATTATTACCAGCTAGTCTGCTAATTGGACTAAAATTTCCAATGATTTTTTCCATTTTCAGTCATGGACCAGCAAGCGGAACTGTGCGAGACGTACCAACTGAAATGGAATTTTTACAGTTCCTACATGCACTCGTGCATATCAACGTCGCTTTACAACGATTCGTACGCCGACGTTGCTCTGGTGACAATGGACGGGCATCAAGTAATGGCCCACCGTTATATTTTGTCTTATAGTAGCCGTTATTTTGCGCAGGTAACGTGAAAAATAACGTGTTTATAACGTGGAACGTTTACTTAAAGTGTGATTAACTGTGTTTTTTAGATATTGAAGTATCAAAGAAAAGTTACCACAGCTCTTCCCCTAATGATAGTAATGCCGCCTGAGATAGATTACAAATCGCTGAAAGTACTTCTGAGGTACATGTACAGCGGTGAGGCTAAAGTTCCCAAAGAAATACTGAATAACGTATTGAAAGGAGGCGACATTCTACAAATCAAAGGACTTTTTAGGTAACTAACAGTGTACGAATTAATAATTCATAAACTTTACGGTACTCGTACGAATTTGCAGGGAAAAGGAAAACAACGAAAAATCATCGAAATCAAACCAACCTCTCTTATCTCCTACGACAAGCACGGCTACCAGCACACCAGCCACCACACCGACTCCAACACCAATAATAGCCCCTTCGCCGCCTCCTTTGGTACCCACATCATCCGTGAGCCAGAAATCGCCGAAGAAACTCGCAGTTTCGGCATCCAACGTCGTATCCACCACTTCCACCGCCTCATCATCGGGAAAAATCCTACCGAAATTAGCCCCGAAAATCGTCTTCATCCACAAATCCAAAGACAATCAACAGCTCTACGCCTCTGCGACGAGCAAAACCAACAACAAAGCCAAACTCCTCAACTTCACCTTGATGGCCCCCCAGCAATCCGACGGCAAGAAACACAACAACACCAACAAAACAGTACAAGAAATCGAAAACGAGAACAACGACGAGAGTATCGTGAAAACCGAACCATCAATCAAAGAAAGCAATCTCCAATACTTGATGATCAAAGGTATAAACCGCTACACCATCTTTCCCCACATATACTATTAACAAATCGTTGAATTTCCTTCAGAGGAGCCGGTGGAATGGACCGAAACGGCCATGGAGGTGATCGAATCGCAGGACGTCTACGCCGACGTTCAATGCAAATCCGAGAACGAGGATCCCAACGAGGACGAAGAGGAGATCGAAGAGGACAAAATGTTCTCGCCGTTGACGTGCGAACTGTGCACGGAAACCTTCACCATACCCAGGGAATGGGTGAGACACGTACAAACGCACACCGACATGCTCCCGGCCAAAAGGCGACGAAGAGACAGCACCGGAGGCAGCGTAAGTAAACTATTCGCAGGGGAGTTACCAGTTGTCAGAGCTCGGTGAAGTACCAAAGAGATTTAGGGAAAATTGGGCAATTCCTAGTAACCTAGAAACTCTTCTTCTTGAATCCTTTTACACCAATTCCTTCCACCAATCTGCTCTATCTAGGGAAAATTGGGCAATTCTTAGTAACCTAGAAACTCTTCTTCTTGAATCCTTTTACACCAATCTGCTCTATCCGTTTTTTCCACCTACAAAAACTCAACTAACAGCGACTTTTTCTCGCAAAGGACTCGTACGAAAACGACTCGTTCCCCGAGCTGATGTGCGACCTGTGCCAGAAGGCGTTCTCGACGCCGGCCGATTGGGTGAAGCACATCCAAAGCGCCCACACCGAGTTCGAGCTGCACCTCTCCAACAAACAGAACACCGGCGAGCCGAAGGGCGGCAAGTCCAAAGCGCCGGCCGGCGGTAATCCTAACGTCGATCAGGGCAAGTACTGCGCCGACTGCAAGAAGACCTTCCCCTCCAACGCTTCCATGCTGATCCACAAGCGCAGCCACACCGGCGAGAAGCCCTTCTCGTGCGAGTGGTGCTCCAAGACGTTCAACGTGAAGAGCAACCTGCTGAGGCACCTCAGGACCATCCATAATAAGATCGTGGCTGCTACCGATGTCGATAATAAGGAGGAGGAGAGCGGTAGCGGGAATTAGTTAGGTGTTATATTCGCTTATACTTTCTGCTGTATTAGGTGTAAAGTAATAAGTTTGTTTCGATTGTTTGGATTGGTTTTGTAACCAATCGAATATGTTTCTTTTCTTTAGATAAACAGTTACTATTATACGTTGTTTTTGTACAAAAATGCTGTTGGTACAGAATAATGGTATACCTATATAAATTTAGCTGTTTGCTACGGCGGGCGAAATTTCGACACCAAATGATAGTTTGTACCTGCAAAACTAAAAAGGGTCAAGAATCTTATAAGAATTTTCGACACTAGAATGAAAATGCAGGTAGATGATAACTAAGAATATGCTTGATAGAAATTGATAGAAATATCACTTTTTAATTACCTATTTGTGTAATCCATTCAGTGTCGAAAATACCCTTAAGATTATATGGACCTATAGTGTCGAAATTACCTATAGGATTAATACATCATTCTTTTTGGTGTCGAAATTTCCTACGCCCGTTTGCTCAAGGTGACAAAATTAATTTAAAATTGGTATTTAATGAGAATCTTACCAGAAAACCAGCAATTGCTCTCGGCGAATCTGGGCCTCAGAACATCGTAGGAATCCGAGCTCAGATCTAACGAAGCAGCTATCACAGTGATGAGGAGTGGTATGCCCCAGGCGTACAATTCGTACAGCCTCAGCCTTAGCCTCTCTTGGCTCTTTTCGGTGCTTTGCGGTCTCAGATCTCTGCAACAAAAAGAATCCAATTACTCTACTATATTTAAGAAGATCTTCTGTATGGAAGAAGAAGTCGCGGAACCCATTCATCGTACGGATAATCGGTCGATAAAATTAAAATTCAATCAGCAATTGGAATTCGACACGAACGAAAGGAAGGAAAAAGATCGCGCTCGGCGATTGCATTGTGAGAAACGGCGACCTAATCGCGCTGCGAGGTTTTCAGTTACGTGTTATTTAATCTCAGGCAGGTAATTCGGTTGCGTGAAAGAGGCAGAATTGCGGCGTTTGCTCGTTCGCTGGATGCACGAAATTACTTTCCAAGAGGATTTAAATTACGGCCGGATAGGACTTTTGTTCTGCCAATTTACAAAGGTAATTGTACATGTTGGTTGTGCCGGCCCGTCGTGACTCCTAAGTCTCGGTAAACGGTTAAATTTTCTAGGAATGCCGCCTTTGCTAGGCGTACAGAATGCATTCGAAAGATTTTTTTGTAACTACTATACTGCTTAAAAGGCGATATGTAAGGTAATTAATTAGCGAAACTACTAAATAAATCAATTTAAAAATCCTAATTATTTTATAAGAAAGTGTACCGATCGGAGTGTTTATCATAATTAATTTATGCGAAGTCCGCTGTGTGAATTAATCACAGGCTATTTCAAAATGTATGTTATTTTCACGTATGCACCGGAACGTAGAGACATTACGTTGAGCAATTCATTCGTAGGTATGCTAAATTATTGTCGAGTACCGATTTTCAGTTTTGCAGCAATTAATTTTGCGTTCTGAGTAGGTCAAGCGAGATAAATAACTAGTAATTAATCCGGTGTGTTTACCTCAAATTTTTGATCGTAAATAACCATTAGAAATGTCTATAAGTATCATTAAATGTTTAATGAGTATTCCATTGGTAAGCTGGAGTAGATAATAAACCAAAAATGTGTTGTTCTCGCCCTTGTACAATGTCCTCCAGATGAGGGTAGTTTTATAGAAATAATCCCCTCGACAACTATTCAGCGAACGGTAAACATGCCGTAAAACATTTATGACGGATTTATATTTTCAAGTATTTCCGGAAGAATTTGCATTCAGCCCTGTACTTGAAGAGGTATTTACCATCATAAATACTTTTCTAACGAATTCAAAGAAACTACCATTCGCAACGCCTCTCGGTATTTCCAAGGAATTATAGGTATTTTTGAATTGTTAAGTGCCATTTTCATTATTTCCCACAGAAATTTGAAAGTATCTACAGTCTGTTTCTTACGAACGTTTACCTGGTACTCTACAAAGAGGATGTTAAATTGCAGTAAAAATTCATCGAACTAATATTTTTTTTAAATAATACAGTATATTGTATAAAATTCTTAAAATTCCTTGATAAACGAATAATATAAGTTCCACCTGCGCCAATGAGCATGCAGTTGTCGGCATCGTTAATTGCACATTTTACAAGAGCGGCATAATTAATTATAAAACATAGCATGTTTCGATTCGATCATTAATTTTTTACAGTTAACCAGTTCGCCGTACGATTGTTCCGTAATGTTATTTAGATTTTATCATCGAATCGTTGCTATCTGTTATGATTCGAGTCGATTTTAATAACATCCACCGATTTACATGTACCATCAATTTACAACAGAAACTTCAAAGCGAATATCTCGTGTAAACAAACGGAGTAACGTTTTATTTCAACTGAAGCTAGTTGGTTTATATCGTGCAATTTACCCCCTTAACACTAACCCTCACCCTCGGTGGTGCGTTTGAAAAAAAATCCCGCACCTCCTTCTGCTCGACGGAGATAATCAATTCCATTTCATCGGTGCTTGGGCTAGGCTAGGAAAACGGATCTATCATTCCCCGTCCCCTTAATTTACATCCCGGGGCGAGCGAAAGGGACCGAGTAAGATTTAAATCGCTGCCATTTCGGGTTTCTTATTTAGCGACGGTATCGAAAATCTCTGCTTGTTTACACGGGGCGAAGGGATTTTCGGATTGACGCGTGTGGGGCTTTCACCAGATTGATGATGATGAAAATGTTATTAAGAATTTTATTGTGAGCCAGAGGAAACTGAACTACGTAGTGATGATACTAGTGTTCTTCATCAGATACGTAGCTCATTGTATACGAGCATTCTGTCATCAAATCGGTTCAATTAAAGAAATAGTATGAAAGTGGAGAATATAAAGTTATCAACACTATATTATGCGTCTTCTTCCGGTTAACAAGGGGGATCGCATTGAAGAGTGCTATAGTTATAGTTATTTTTAGGATAACTAAAAAGGGTACAGTTACAATTGAATATATCTGTACCTACTGATTTTGATGATTTTATTCTAAAAATCTAATGAAAACTTGGTATACTCCGTTCGCTTATTACAGCATATTTCATAACGCAGAAATTTCTAAAATTAAAATAGGAAAAAGTCGGTAAATCCATTAGAAATGCGCGCCAACTGTGCGACTACTCCGTCTTTAATCTAATTAGAATTTATGAAGACGCAACCGGCCTGTTTGGGCCGTAAGTCACAATTTAAGCCGGTGACAATGCGATGATTAAACTTCTCTATTTCAATTGCAAGCTCTTGACTTCATTAGGAGGATTATTGCCAGTTCTGATCTCTTGTAGATTCGTCATTCACATGCACCGTTTCGTTTCAATAACTTTATTCGACAACAGATTTATACTATCGCGCATTAATTTTACTTCTTAGCGTTTATTGTAAGGATAAATTCTTATACAATCGATCAAAATCAAAAATTGTATTTGTAGGATGTCCGAACGTTTATTTTTCTTAATTCTACATCGCTGTTCGATAGTATTGTGTTAAAATCCCGTCTGTTCCGAGCGCTTTATTCTAATTTCGCAACAATTTAAAACGTTTTTCAAAATATAGTTCTCGCAATCTTTCAGTTACCCACGTGGCCGATTTATTGGGTTGCTGTTTATAAATCGGTGTATTTTATGATTTCCGACACCGAAAAATACTTTTACCAAAGTGTTATTATCTAATTTTTTCTAACAGCACTGTTTTTAGTGACATCTTGACACTGTTTTTGGTTTTGTAATCAATGACATTTATTAACTTAACTGTCATTTTTGACAAGCAATTATAGCCAACTTTGGAATCGAATATCACATAATAATGAAACTTTCTTTGAGCTAATGTGATAAAATTTCCGACTCCGAAAAATTCTTTTACCAAAGTGTTGTTATCTAATTTTTCTAACAGCGCTGTTTTTAGTGACTTCTTGAAGTTGGCAACCCTGTTTTTGGTTTCGTAATCAATGACATTTATTAACTTAACTGTCATTTAACTGTCAACTTTCTCTCCAGCTAATGTGATTGCGGTAATTAATAATAATTGCGCTATAAAATCATTAGCGCCGTTTGAATGGCAACTTCGACAAAGTGGGAGTCCGAAACCCATTCGTATTTTGATGGAATCGTAAATTATTAACAACTATGTCAACAAAATCACATGTTCCACATAAAAGAGGCATTGCCAACGTTTACGACTATCAATAAAAGTTAACTGTCTCTCTGAATCGAGCAAAACGAATTTCGCTTCTATAATTGTAACCGATGCAATAATCAATTATTACATTAGCATTTCCAAAACCGTAAAATGTTTACTCGAACAATTTTTAAACTGCATACTATCAAATGTTTACAGTAAATAATTTAAAGCTGTAGTTGCTGTTGCTTGGCTCGCTGCTCGATGTTTTCGAGATTGTCTCTTCCTTAGTAAGCTATTTGTCCGTTTGCTCGCTAATATATACTCATAAAACTGACGAGATCGAATCAACCGGGTCGAAAAATCCGTTCGGAAGAAATCGAAGACCAGTTTCCATTTACGGTCGAGTATGCGCGTATACCGTAAATTAAATTCGATTCCCCGTATAGCGGCTGAGATGAAAAATGAAAATAAAAAAAATAATTCGTCGTTTATTACTTTCTTTAATTATTATGGGCGGCGAAAAAGGCCGTTTTATAACCGTGAGCAATTAAGAATGCAATCATTCGACGTCGGTAGTGTGTTAGTAATATTTGTACAGTTTTAATAAATCCCGAACGAATTTGTACGATGCATTAAAAAGACGAAACAGAACAGGGATTGATAATTTAATAATTGCCATATGTGCATTATCTCTTTCAGTGAAGTGGGGATTGTAAATTACGATCTTCGATAAGAGCTCGTCTTTTTTTATACGAATTGTTTGTTCTGTTAGCGAGCAAATATAACTTTCCCACTGGATTTATAACAGTACTCTAAGAAATTTTCAATGTAAATATCCAGTACTTACACAGTAGGAGAGAAAGCATGTAAATAATTTGCATGTAGGGGTTATAAATTATGTTGCATTAGAATTACGTACGCATGATATATACAGGGTGATTTATTAATTATGTAAATTGAAAAGTTACCTGTATAAGATTTGCAGTAGATAATTATAAGTTAATATATAAAATAAACGAAATGAATAATTTTTCGCGAAGAAAACCGGATCTTTAAACACCATTATAGATCGATTAATGAGAAATCGGTTATAAATTTTCGCGTATCCGCACAGCATTCAAAAAAACTTTGTTTTATCGTCGATAATAAAAGATTTTCCCAGAAAATCAAACGATTTGCGGTATTTTTAGCCGGGATTAAACGCCGACTGAAAATATAATATGTAAACAATATTTTAACACATGTACACCCTAATTCGTTTAAGAATAATCTGTTGACCGTTCTCAATTCGTAAAATACTGTTTCAGTTCAGCGAAATATCATTAATCAGTAATCTATCAATCACAACTCAACATCAATTAAAACCAAAAAGCGCGACTGTCAATCAAAATGGACCCGATTGACCAATCAATACTTGATTGACAGTTTTTTGAAATATTTTTAATCCAATAAATTTCTTCTCGTTTTATATTTATTATCTTCTACTACAAACGTATTTATTTATTCACTCTTTATTCCCATTGTAAAGTACTATTCGGGCA